TCAAGGAGAAAACATCCACCGATAGATCAAAGAAGATACTTAAGACTAGTTGAAAAACTAGTCTATCTTTCTCATATAATGCTAGATATTTCATACACCGTGGGATGACTAAGTTAATTCATGTATGATCTTAGAGAAATACATAACACATAGTACTTCTATTTAATGAAAATATTAACTTAGAAGTCTTTACCAGTGTATATCATAGTTTTAAAAGTTGATTGTGGATATAACATTCAAATCAAGATAATACTTATTTTTAAGAGGCAATCTAATTATATGGAGAAGCAAGAAATATTTTACTATTTCAATGCAAAGTTAGAGCTTAGAGTCATGACATAAAACATACGTGAAGCATAATAGATCAAATGAATATCATATGATCTTAAGATATCCCATGAAATGTTTATCAAACTCTTACGTAACAATAAATAAGTGATAGACATTACACACAATCTAGTGTATTATGATTTTATGAAGCATGTTGAGCTAAATCGATATGTCGTTAAGAAAAAGATCGAGTTTATAATCATATGCACACCCCATGTTAGATCAAAGGACCAATGTGAAAGCTTGTTCACCAAGGGACTTTACAATCCCACATTGAGGAGATTGATGAGGAAGCTAGGAATGAAAGTTACCCATTCATTAGCTTGAGGGGAAGTGTTGGAAGATGAATTATTCACTTTTTCTATATGTACCTATTGTATCTTTTTTATTTCCTTTTTGTCCCTATCATTATCAAGCTAAGCCACTTATTCATTGTAACTAACCCAATAATACATATCCATGTACTTAAGAAGGACACAAGCTCTAACTTGAATAGATTTCTCTTTTCTTGTTTCCTATCATTGCCTTCAGAGTTTGTCTTTAGACAGATCATGAGCTCAGATTATTAGGATTAATTATCTGACACTCTACAATATGGAAATTTACAAACTTCGTTAAAATATTTGTGAATTGACAAAACACAAACAAGTAAAATCCTTAAAAAATATAAGTAGTCTTACTCCTTTTTTCCATATCTATAGTGATACTTGGGTCCCTCTACTAATTTAAATATTTCTAGATCAAGATAGTTTATAATCTTCATTGATGATTGTACACAAGTCATCTGAACTAACTTACTTAAAAATAAATATGATGTTAATAGTGTTCTTCTTATTTTTTTTTCATAATTAAAAGCTAAATTAGGGTTAATATTAATAGATTTTGATTTGTTGATGTTAGATATTATTTTAGCCAAATAATTAGCTCATACTTTTAGAAAGAAATAATTATATCTGAATCATCATGTGTGAATACTCCACAACAGAATATGGTTGCTAAAAAGAAGAATAACCACAACAACTAGAGTTTTGTTTGTTCAAAATCACATTCCTAAATCTTTTTGAGAAGAGTCAATATTTATTGCCAACTCATTTTATAAGTTATTTTTCATCTAAAACCTTAGGTCTCAAGAGTCTCATAGATGTATTATTATCCTTTTATCTAAATATATCACACAAAAAACTAATTTATAAGATTTTTGGATGTCTATAATTTGTTAATGTACATAATTAGAGTAGGGATAAACTTAATCAAAGAGAGTTAAAGTGTATATTTAATGGGTACTCTAAAATCAAAAAATGTTTCAAATCTATCATCTATCATCAAAAAAAAATTATATTTTGATTGATATGACTTTTAATGAGCATCTTATTTTCCTTTGATACATAAAGAAAATGAGAAATAAACTCCTCTACACCTATTTTTGAGAAAGAGTACACTCTCAATTCTATCTCAAAATAACCTTTAGACTCTACACTTACACCAAATCTATTATATCTGGTTGTAACTAACTCTACCCCTATTGGTCCCTCATTTAAGGATAGGTGGTTTGGTAAGTATCTACAAGGAAGAGGTTAAATGTTGTTGGTCCTATTCATATCCACAAATCAAATATAGATACACGATCAAAAATTACATCTAAATCAGTTGAAAATTCTTCTTTGTCCACTCTCGTACTTTTAGAAGTTGAAAGTCATGATAGTGATGAGGAGAGCTGCAAAAAAGATATACTTGTTACAATTAAGAAATAAATTAAAGAATATACAAAATAGTCTTTGTATTCTTTCTCACACTAGTTCTATGGCGAGTTATCATTTGCCCATAAAGCCTTCATTACTAACCTAACCAACACTAGTATTAACTTCATCAAGACACTATCTAATGATAAGTTAAAACAACTAATGAGTGAAGAAATGTGTCATAGAGAATACAATACTTAGGAGTTAGTAAAATTCCAAAGAGGAAAAAAACTAGTAGGTTGCAAATAGATATATATATATAATCATATTATATATATGTAGTGAAATATCATGCAAGTGAATATATTGAGAGATACATCTCATAAACAACTTGACATAACTTATGTTGTAAGTGTGATCAATTAATTTATGTACAACCCAAAGTAGATGCATCTACATACAACTTATGTAGTGTTACACTATCTCAAAGGATATCTAGGAAAATAACTTATACTTAAAAGGGGTGGTAGAACTTTACTTGAGGTATATTTGGGCATTAACTATACAAGGTCTATGATAAATAGAAGATCTACTACATGGTATTGTACATTTCTTGATTGAAATTTAATTACTTAGAGAAGTAAAAAGTAAAATAAGGTTGCTAGGTCAATTGTAGATATAGAATTTAGAGCTATGGCTTAAAGGATATGTGAAGTGTCATGGGTGGTGAAAATAATTCTTAGAGACTTGAAAATTAAATGGGAGAATCCAATTAGATTATATTATCACAATAAATCAGATATTAATATTTTATATAATTATACATCATGACTAAACCAATCTTATTAAATTTGATCATTATTTCACCATGAAAAGTTTGGAGAATGATTTGATATATATGTTGCATATACCATCAAATGGTTAGATAATTGACTTTTTCACTAAGAGGTTAAGTGCTAAAGTATTTCAAAACTTTGTATGAAAGTTGAGAATGGATGCTATACATTCACCATCTTAAGGGAGATAATACTTGTTATTTTTGTCAATATATTCCTATTGTATTTGAGTCCGTATTGTTTGGATGTACTTAAGTTACTTTTGTCTCTTGTGTGAATTAGATTAATTCAGTTTACTATGGGTTCTGCATAATCATATCATTCAGAACTAATATAAATAAACTAGCCTTGCACTATTTGAACTTGAGAATGGAAGGCTTAGCCCTCATATTTCCTCTTCTCTATTTCTTGCTGTAGTGACCACAAAAGCTTAAGGAGATCAAGTTGAGTTCTTGGCATTTTCCATGTTCTTATTGGCTTCTGTTCATGAATTTATAAAATACTATTGTAGGTATCATATTATTTTCTTTTTAATTTATAAAACAAATCATCATTATAAATTTTTATTTTATTACTGTAATAAATATTATTTTTTCTGGGCCGAATTTTCTGGCCCATCCCTGTGGGTATACATACATCCGACAGTGAGGGCCCATCAACCGCCGTCCTCTTGTTTCCGGCCCAATTTCGGCAGCCAAGAAGCCAGGAACCATGGATACGTGAATGGGCCCTGAGATCAGACGGCTGGAATAAAGAGCCCCAGAGAGGGCATATTTAGTTAGTACAGAATTAGAACTAGAAGCTGTGTCTATGAATCACAGAGAGAGAGAGAGAGAGAGAGAGAGATGACAACTTAGGGAATCCAGATGGATGACGGGATATACAGCACACACAAAAATGTACATTTCTTTCAGCAAAACGTTGGGAAAGAGGTGGATTAACCTGCCAGAGCAGCCACCACAGTCCGAGGTTTTGTGAGCTGCCGTAAGAGCCCTAATTCCCTTCTCCCATCATAGATTACAGCCCTCTCGGCCATTTTCTTCAAGTGCTCGATCCAACGGCAAAACCCCCCCTTCCTTCATCAACCAAAACTCACGCAGATTAGCAGTCGATCAGAGAGAGAAGAGAGAGTGAGAGCAGAGTCACCAGAGGAGGTCGATCAACCACAGATCCTGCCTCCCGCCTTCAATCCTGCGGCTTCTTCCGCCGCTTCTTCCCGTTCCTCTCTTCCCCTTCCTGCAACGTCCCCGAACCAGAGCCCTTCTTGCCGGTTCTTGTGGTGCCGTGAGAACTGGGCTCGCTCTTGGACGTGACGACAGATCCCGGCGTACCAGACCTCCGCTCTCGCTTCAGAGAGCTTCCATCAGCTTCATCTCCGCCGCCGCCGCCGCCGCCGCCGCTGCGCCGGCCCCGCCCATTCGCAGATGAAGTGGAGTCCTCGCTTCTCTTCCTCTTCCTTGGCCTAGTTAAGGAGGTGAAAGCAGCCATCGATTACTCCCGGAACAGCTATTGAAAGTAAGGATCAAAGCATGAGCAGGGCACCAATGGGTAACTTTGACTAAGACACATCAGGACCTCACCCAGGAGGAGAGAGAATATCCTCCCAATTAGGGTAGAAAAAGAATTTAACAATTCTTCTTCTGTCTAAAGAAGAACAACTACCAGTAAGCGGAGTCAACAACGATCCACAGCATCCTATGATTTCTCTGCAACAACAAAGGGGATGATGAAGAGGGTGTGGTGGTAATATGATGGGGTTCTGCATGCATTTGACAATGGAGGGCCACTAGTACTTCAGCTGCTTCTAGGAGTAAAAAGATCAAGGTCAACGAGAAACTCAGGATCTGGGGGAGAATCTTCAGGATCCTATGCACACAACAGAGAACATATATTTTTTTTTATTTTTAAAAAGAAACTGTAGAACCTCGGTTCTCTGTTGCAGAACCAGCAGAGGATTAGCTAGAACAGCTAAAGAACATTGCCTTCCATCCATGGTAATGCTCCAGAATGGGCTGCCATTGGCATGCAATGTCTGATATTTGGCCAAGGGCAATATGAAATCACAGTCAACATTGAGAACATAACAAATCCCAAAGCAATACCGATATGATAGCTTTAGGAAATAAAACAGACGACTTTAGAGTGACAAGAATGCTCAGACATACGTCTTTAAGGCGGCCTCAGGGGTTGACCTGTTCTCTTCCTCCTGCCATAATTGAGATAATTAAACGTCATTAAAAGAAATAACAGAGAGCAAAAACCTCAAGGGGCTTTCTTTACGTAGTAGTCTGCCAACCTTTCCAGCACCTCCAACCAGCTCGAAGCTCTCATTCCTGAGGAGCAATGTCTCCTTGTCGCCGTCCGAGTATAAAACCTAGAGGAGAAACATGGCCAGCTTAGAAGCGAAAGATTGATCCCAGTTCAGGGCAGGGCGGCCAACATGAAGCTAGAAATAAAAGTAGCAGAAAACAAGAACTTGACAGCCATGAACATGAAATAGGACCTTATGCTTCTTCGAATTGGGATTATACGACACCACAACACCACGATAAAACCTGCAGGAACATGTGGAGAACGATCAAATGCATGCCACAAGATGAGATGATAACGAGTAAAAAATGTCCAGCAGGGTTGAAAACTGAGAGAAACTGGTTGATTGGAGAGACTGAGAAGCAATCGCAGGGTAAATTACGTTAAACAAGGACAACGAAAGGCTCACTTCTTTAACCCTCTTTCATGGGTTTGTTTCAGAAAACAGTTTAGTCCTCATCCTTTTCGGCCAATGAAGGCGGGCAGAAGAAGCAGGGTTCGATTCTTGTTTCAGGGGCAGAAAAATGAAGCAGCTGCTGCTTTGCGCATGCTTTCAGCCTAATGGGAAAAGCTGAGCACACTTACACACGGGTATATGATGCAAGGGTATGCAGTTTCCATGATTGAGCTTGGGAATGCATCACAACCAATTCAGAAATTTCAAGACACCTCTTGAAAAATGATTGCAAATGAAACAGGTTGGAGAGCCCTTTGATGATCCATCTAACCCATGAAAAAACTCTTTTATCGCATTTATTCTTTATATTTGAAAATAATATTTGAAAATAATATTTGAATATGCTCTTTTTTCATATTCATTTTGACTGCCCACTTTCAGAATAAGCATCTGTTCTTTCCCAGAAAGGCTGTTCATCACCATCTATGATTCCAACATTTTCCAATTTCGATCGGAAAATCAGTGGAGAAAAATTTATCAAGTGAACGAGATTTAAATTCATTCCAAAGGTGTCCTCTAAGATTTTGTTATTTATCTTAGGAGTTCTTATTTCTTTTGGCATTGATTCACATGAAGAACTCCGTCTCCACGACCTTAATAGTAACTATACTGTTTCCACAATCAAGTTCACAACTGTAAACCTAACTGATCCCAAATGACAATTCACCACCATCAGAACCCTTTGTATTTTTTGAAGTTTCGAACAAGCCATAACACAATCGGTTGAGACCAATTAAACAAACCAACTCCCTTTCGGATAAGAATCCTATCTATTCGTCTACATCTCACAACTCGATGAGCAACCCTTCGATAGCTTCCAACCTCATTCCAAAGAGGATGGAAGAACAGCAGAATATTTTATGAGATTCACTTGAAAATCAAGCGTTGATTTGAATCTAGGAACCTCTCACTGATGGATGGCTACCACCAACCATAGTTAAAAAATAGGCGACCTACACCTCAACCCTTAGGTATCAATTGGTTTTCATGGACACATTTGAACCTGAAATCTTGTGTAGCAAAAACGAGCAGTGAACCAACAATATAACCTAACTGGCTTTTCCCCACAAAACATGGCATATATGTATTTTAACGAAATGAGAATCATGCAGGGAACGAGTAATCAATAAAATTAAAAAGTGTTTGATGTATTTATTATATACCATAACCTATCATGATTGCACCATGTTTGTCCGTAAAATATTGGTGGTAATGTTCGCAAGTAACTAATATTATATACCACTCTCAGGCTGATGCTATTCATGCAATCAGCAGCAATGACTAAATCTGACTACCAGACTTGTTCAAATGAAAGAAGCACCTGCAACCAATTGATATCATTCCTACAATACTTACTTTGCATCATCTGGCCACCAAACTTTTATCCTTGCTCCTACTAAACTCTCATCATATTCTAGCTCACGTCCAGCGGTCCTAGAAACCTGAAGGATAAAGATTCGACAAGGCAGCGCGGAAAACATAAATCCATAAGCAAATGAGATTCAACAAGCACCCAAAAGGAAAAAAAAGATTAATGACCAAAATCCTCAAGGTGAACTTTCTAAGTTTGCTTTCACTTTAAACAATAAAACTGTGAACTATCTATACATTAAGTTGGCACAATAAGACTAAAATATGGAGAAATTGCTGAACTAATACAAGGGAGAGAAAGGTCAATAACACAAAAATCGATTATCTCCAGATCCCAACAAACTACCAAAGAGTTGAATAATATCTTAATAACACCATAAAGACCATTGGTGTCCAAAATTACCGATGTTCAAGAGTTTAAACAAGCTCCATTTGTCATGGTAAAATCTAAAACCTACAGTCTTTGCGGAGTCCTATATGTCGCCAAGCACACCACTCACACAAGTCCACAAGTAATAACTTGAGCAATACACATGCGTGAGATGAATAAAGCAAAAGAATATTCAGGATCTATTGTCCACTAGTTGTATCTGAGCTACATTGAGAATGCAATGAACATTTGTTCGTCTTAAATTGTTTTCCATTTGAAAAGAAATATCGTTTTATGGATTTCGTCGCTGCACTTTAGGAAGCTTCTCGAAATCCCAGATAAATTTTTCAATATCACTTGCACTCATATGGAGTATTCTTGATTAGATATTCGTAAATGACATAAAATAAAGTGGTAACTGACGATGGTTCACATGTCTTATTTTCCTATGGTGTAGGCAAAATTATCGTAAAACAACGTTGCTTCACTAATCTCTACTAAGCTTGAGAATATTTTTAAAGTTGTTGATAATGTATTAGCCGTTTTTATAATTATCAATGTCTCCGCTGGAGTCTTCTGACTGCCATCTATCCTAAAAATGGCCACATTTTTGATTGCCATGCACCATCAAGATCAGCCTATCAAGGGGAATCCCTAACAGTGGGTTTTTTCTAGCGGGGGGTCACTACATGTTTGTTTTGGTTTCGATCACTATTTATTGCAACCAACAGCTAGGGGTTCTGTTACTGGCTGCGAAATAGTGGTTCTCGGGCAAATTCTTCAAAATTGAAATCGATAAAAACAAATCATTTCGTTTTATTAGAATGTTCCCATTAGTATCTAGGGGCCCGAACAAATTTACAATCAGTTTTGGAGGACACAAAGGGACCACCTGTATGTGCACTTCCGATTGGCCACTTGGGGGGGGGGGGGGCGCTACCAAATCTAGTATAATGAAACTACCATATCTACATCGGAAAGCAATTCAATATTAATTATTTAAAAAAACAGCAAACGACTCACTAGTTATTAAAATTATTTACTGCAATGCAAAAAACACAACGCAAAGATCATTAATATATATAATGAAGGGATACAAATTTTAAAGTCCGTGCTGGCTAAAGACAAGAATCAAAGGACGCCAAAACCAAGAACATGGTATATAAACATACAACAAAAGTTTGTCAACACGCGAGTCCATGAATGTATTCACATACCTCCTCTCGAGAACGTTTCCTGCCAGATCTGGATTTTATATTTTCATCCATAACATTTTGGTCGGCGTCAGATTTGGTAGCCGTCTTAGGTGAAGAAACCGTCCCCTAGATTGTCAAAAAACAAAATAATATGTAAAACTTCCGCATAAAAAGCATCAATGGCTATCAAACCAGTGACACAAGGTAATGATAAATGCTCTATGCTCCAATAGACATAGATTTGATTCCCTCACCTTATCATGATTAGAAACTCTACATCTCTGCTTTTTAATTTTGGAAACCAACTCTGTTATTGGTGTATCCTCACTGACATCTACACGAGGCTTCCTGCCACGTTTCTTTGGAGGCACCTCTGCGTCACCACTCACATGAATTTTCATTTTTCCTTGAGAATGTTTGGGCTGACTAGCACCAGGAAGCTTTTCATTTGAAGAGCGTCTATGCTTCCCTCGTATGCCTGTCTCTGTCTCTTTCCTGGATGGATATTCAGATTCTGACCGGTCAAATTCACTGCTGCGACCTTTCCTCCTATTAGGTACCTGCACACCAGCTTCAGCAGCGGCTGACGCATTTCTAGGTGACACTGCATTTCGGATAGTTTTCTTATTCAGAGACGCTATTTCAACCACAGAGCCATCATTCCTGGTCTGGAGGTTTCCATTGCTCATTACAGACTTTGGGGACCTAACGGATCCAGTACCTACTTCAGGACAGGAAACTTCCGACTCCATCTTTCCAGAACCCTGTTCAACGAGAATATATAAGAAACGAGCCTAAAACCTCATTGTACTGACATCAAGAAATAATAAACACAGTGAGCAAAAAATGTTCTGCCTGTGCAAGCTCATCAGAGACGGTCCTCTCAGAAAACCTGCTGTCGTCTGCCTGCAATGTTTTGAACACAATTAAAAAATTCAGAAAACTGACGACTCAATACCATAATTATCAATGAAAGCACTATTCAGCAAGGTGGACAATAGCTACAAAACCAAAGAAAAAATGTACAGCAAGTGGAGATCGTCTACAATATTGCACTTCTTAAAGTTTACGCAACAATGGCACATCAGATTCTACATTCAAACAAAGTTTCGAAAAAAGGGAAATAAGTTCAGCGAGATAACAAACCACAGTAGTAGATTCTTTCATGGTGCATGTGATTGGCACTAGCTGATCCAACCTGGGAGGGAAACCCAATCACACTTGAATATCACAGGACAACAGAAAATTGCACAAAATCAGTCAATTTTCTAGCTGATCTAGCCCGATCCACTCAGATTAGCCCGTTATTGGAAGAACTGCTCCCGTCAGCCAATGCTGCTGAGAGGTGTAAGGAAGAAAAGTTCGAAAGAAAAAGGAGGAGGAAGAAGAAGACAGAATAAAAAATCCACCTGGAACCCCCATTGGCTGGCTGCAGTAGCTGCAGACAAGTCACAGTCAGTCTATTGACAATTCCTCCCGTGGAGTATCCCCAGGCACTTCCCCAACCCATGCAATAAGAGGAATTCTAGACCAAGGGTCAGGAATTTTGTCTTCTGACACCGATGTTTCGAAGGCTGCATCTTTGGAGCAGGTTATAAATCAATTGCATCCGGAGGAGCAAAGTGGATTAAGCGCCATTATGGCCGCTTTTACACAAATTGGAGAAGTAGTTCGGGACCAATTGCCACTTGAGAGAAGTTCGACCTAAGGGGAAAAGGATAAGGAAGGCTGTCAGTCTCAGTAACAGACGAGATTCCCACAGGTGCTTATTTGGGTGACTAAGCACTTGCTTACTACTTGCACCAATGCCTACTACAATCAGTCTGTCATCCCGGATGGAAGGCCTCTCATCTCATCTCATCTCGCTCACTGACTTGGCTTGCGCATCTTGCATTTTGCATATCCAACTTGCACTTGACGCGATTTTTTTTCTTTTTTCAATCAATGATACGCCTGGGCAACAAAAGGTCCGATTGCCACAGAGATTGGGCAGAAGCAAATAAAAAAAAAAAGCCTTAAAAGGGATTGGGTGTTCTCCATCTGGAGCCCTACTGGAAACTCATATGATAAATAGAGAATCCCAGGGTCAGCAGAATCTGTATCAACAGCCGCAATAATCATTGCCACTGACACTCACAGATCCCTTCACATTTCTGATCATGGGTGTCCAAATTGCAATCACGTGCAGGGGTGGACAAGGGCTGTATAAAAATGATACCACTTATACAAGTTGGACCGAGTCAGAAACAATATGGGCTTTAGAGAATGGATTCCATAATCAGACTGCTTGAAACTGAGATATTCCAGTAATATACAGCCAATTCAGGCGATCCCTGACCCCTAGGGAAGGAGAAAAGGAGAATAAAGAAACGTTTGAATAACTGTGACATAGGCAACTACCTCTTTTATAGTACCTAGCTCATGTCTTGTCATCGAATCAACCACCAACGCAACCATGGCATATAGGATAACAATGATCTCGACGATTTGGTTCCACATCGTGTGGACATGGAATAAAGTTTGTCAATAGAGCCTGGGAGCCGCTAAATCTATACACACTGCATGAAATAAATATCCTATTACCCAGAAGCCATCAGAAGATGCCAATACATTCACAAGCACTGGATTCACTGGCAGTGTCAACCCCGGATACACCGCACTGCTTTTTTCGAAAAAAGAATTTTGCCAACAAAATGAAAGTAGATAAACTAGTAATCTTCCAGGGCAAAACAAATATTTGAAACCAAAAGATGAAGATCTCATTTTCAATTGGAAATTAAATTGAAAATTTATTAAAAAATACCACAAGTTGTGTGAAAAATGCACAAGAATAGAAATATGAAAGGCAAAAGAAAAGTAACAGAAGGAAAAACTCACCAAACACTCAGCAGAGGCATTTAATCTGTTACGTTCCAAAACATTAGAATTATCTTCACATACAGTTGCAACAACACTACTGTAATCGCTCAGCGGTGCACCAAGGGATTGAACCGCGCCCATTAAGCATGATTTCAGTTTAAGAGTGCAGTTAACAATAACTTTTTCCGCTAATCTCCGTGCAACTGGCTGAATATCCTGTAGATGAAAAAAATCAGGTTATGAAAACACTAAAAGTCGAAAGAAATAAAATACGAAATTAAAGAATAAGGATAGAATACCATATTGTCCTTTTTCACACTCGTTAACAACAATGAGAGAAGTTCTGGTGAAATATCTTCACTTTCCTCTAACACAAGGGTCATTATCACCTCCATTGAAGAAAACACATTTTCTGAATGGTTATCCCTGCAAGTTGCACATGTCCTCGTTTTTTTTTAAAAAAAGTTGACAAAACACTAATACAGGTGAAGATAAATTGACTTAATATAAAAAAAGGAAAGACGAGAAGTATTTTGGAGAAAAAATGTGGGTTGAAACATTTCTTTTTCGTAAAATCGGGGGAAATAAAAATTCCATGTCCACTAAAACTGCAACTTTAGAAGTATGTAAAAACCTTAGTATTAAATTGACAAAACATGTAGACTTTAGAAATAAAAACCATCAATAAATGACAAAACATGTAGAGAAAAATCAAAAAGAATGATTCGTATTAAATTGTTTATTACCCATGAATCACTGAAATAAATAATTAGTTATAAATGCGTTTCACAATGAGTGACTTCTATTGTGAACTGAAAGTTATTTCGTCCGAGTGAAATTTAGCTAGTCCACTCTAGAATTCTGTCTATAACAATTCAATCCACCAGCCTCTCATATGTTCTGGGATCGTTCTTAAGGACCTCCTTGCCCTTACCATTCACAAACTGGCTTGCGACAGCTCATGTTACCCATTCAAGGAATTTCATATTTACAAAGTGAAGCTGTTCCTGAAGAGCCTGTTCAGACGTGACAAAATTTGCAAGTTTCAATGTCTACATACATAAATCAACATTTGTGAGAAATATGATCCGATGGATGAAAATGCTTGTTCAATAATGTTCATCGCATATAAATACCAAACCCTATTAAAAAAAAAAAAGACAAGTAATAAATGCATTCCATCGCAAACTAGATGACATTTATTCAAAAATTTTGCTGGTAAGAAAATAATCTTGCAGATACTGTGTACCTAATTGTCCTTAGGAAATGACGAAACATCTCGAGAATCAATGTGTCGCACTCAAGATCCAACATCACAACGCATGACCTAACCTTTGCTACAGTTTCAAGAGTCAATACCCTCTTTGAATATGAACGACTGGATATATCATTCAGATCTTCAAAAGCCTTAACAATCATCTGAAATATTTCCTGAAAAATGAAGATGAGTTATAAGAATTTTCTTCCGAAGCTGTTAAACAAGCAATAAAAAACAACACAGTAACCTCAAAATAAACAAAGATCGGCAGACCTTCATTAAATCATCATTATATGGAGCCTCAGGTGCTGTTATTCTGGTGATTTCGCTGATGCAAGCTGTAACAGCAAGTCTGACATCTGCATCCGGATGCCCTAAAAGCTCCTTAGAAATCAAGCCCTTCATTGCAGGATGTAGTGCAGCTGACATTGACTCTGAAGGTGATTGTTCCACCCTTGACAAGAAAGTCTCAGCTTTCTGAGAGAGAGATTAAGAAAATAAATATGTTGGCCGCAAAATTTCAAAATACTGGGGTGACAAACTATCAAATAAATAAAAAATACGCAGATAAGTCTTATACCAAATAAGTATCATTATCAAATAAAAATAAAGCACTGAAAATAGTCAGACTTGTCAAAAGATGAAGCATCAAATGAAAATAAATGGAGCTCCACGTAAGCATCCTCAAATAAAAACTCGGAAAAAATGGAATTTTGAGCGTGTACAACTAAAATCCATAAACATGCATTTCATCTCTTGAAGAAAATTGTGTAAGGTAAATGACAACAAAAAAAGAGATTCATTTAAGACTTGATATAACATCATATATCACTATGAGGATGCACTCTGATGGCATTTGACAGTTCAGCGGACGCAGAGTATGTTCAAGGACCACAAGAAGCAGCCAGTGGATAGTGCAGTGAATCACTGTTTAATATTCATCCACATTCGCGGGATATAATTCAGCTGGTTAAGCACAAGGCCAAAAGCCTAAAGTGACATAAAAGCAACAAACAGAAGGGCTCAAACGAAGTGAATTCCCCCAAAGTACCCCAAGTATATCCAGGTTAAAGTCTAAAACCCGAAACGACTAGCACAAGCCAGCCTGAGTTGGACCAAGAAACCTTGTTGCAATCAATATAATGTAAAAAAATTAATATGCTCTATATGCTCTATATGCTCCATATCCTCTAAATAGTTCTCCATATCCACAATCTGCATCAGATTTTGCCCGAATAAATCAGTTACTCCACAAATGTATTATATGGAAGAATTGGAAGGGGATTTAAAGCAGGCATAGACGAGGAAAGTTGAAGAGAGATTAATTTCGATATCAGGTATTCTACCTGCACCTTTCAGCAGTCAACATTTATTCCAGACGTTTATCATTTCATCAACCCGGGATATGCAAATACACGTACAAATTTTACTGTATATACTCAGGTGTTTACTCCCATACAGCCAAAGATGTTGAAATGTACCCTGGTCACTTTTTCTCGTTATGAAAAAACTCATGTTCACTATTTGACGAGACGATTGACAATCATCAACACATTTACAAAATAGTGGTACTTTTAGGACGACATGAGGCATCAAACATTTTTCTCGCTTCCTCAACCCAACCCCGGGGTTTATTCATGAGAACTGAATCAGATGCAACAGTTCTAGGGCACAGTTGATGACTACTAATACATGGCAACAGTAGTATGATGAAATTTTATTTCTTGATGATAGATTGATGAATAATTTACTAAACGCAGTATAAAAGGATTTTCCCTGATTTTCCATCTAACATTTGGTCATTGGCGAAACAATCCACAATTGCATTTAGTTGCTAACTGATCATGGTATTTCTGGCTTCTCCTCCAAATAAATCTATATTACACAAATCCGTCCCACTAAACTGTAGAATGAAAATATCAAGCAGGATGACCAACGGAAACACCGGCTAAATAATTGGTATGATTGCCAGATCTAGATCATCATTCATGAGATAAAGTACGTGATGATGATGAATCTCGAGTTGTTGACATTTAGAAAGTATCTAGATACTACATATCCTTTGAACGTGAAAGTGTACGATCTTCCATCGTCACTGCCACAAGTTTCTCACACCAATCTGGAACTGGCATCGACTGATCTAAAAAATAGACAGATCTTTACAGCGGGATATCAAGCTGAAACCAACCCTCTACTACAGTAGAACTAGGTGCGTAATAGAGGTAATTTTTGAAGGTAGTTATCTGTCAAAGGTTCCATGATACAAATCGGAAAAAGAAAAAGCTATCTCCCTGGGATTTTTTTCAAGCTCATGCAGCAACAAAGTGACCCTAAGCTCAGCATGAGTTGCAATAGTGTGCGTTTCTTCTCTTTAGCCACGAATAAGCGTCATTTATCCACCTATCTAGGCGAACAACTACAAAGAGCAGAGTTAAGAAATATTGCCTTTTCATAAAATTTTACTTATACTGAGGAGACTTAACAAAGCGTTGGTGTTGCATTTCACTTTTGACATTGTTCATGTATTCTAAAGACAAAATGGAAATCCATGGTTGACAGTGCGCCCTAGTAAACCAAATGTAAACCATGTAGCATGTTATACAAGCTTCGCCCCTTTTCAACGAAGTAAGGTGAGCAATGATCATGCAAGATAGGAAGCCGATGATATTCCTTAAGCATTTCTGCATACAACACATTATTTTTTTCCCTCTTGATCATAAGTTACCCTTTCTCGCACTATTTTCTGTAATGATTCCCAGCCAGTGGACCTGACAGGTTTTTAATCCAAGTATTGTGAAGCAAACTATGGTTTTGATACAAGATAAGCGTTCCCAACGAATGGAAAATCCTTGCTTTCTATGGATCATGAAATTGGTACCTTGGTACCCAAAAACAGTACCAAGATCTAAAAATTAATGGACAGTAATGGCTATTCCAGGCACGACGACAAGCGTATGCTGAGAGAGGGAGCTGGCATTTGTTTCTGGAGAGAAACATATAATAGCAAAACCATGCCATCGACTACGGCTGAGGATGATTCCCCAGTAATAACACTCCAGAAACTCACGCGATTCCTGAGACTGAATTCGGAAATAAAGTGTTTAGGAGAGTTGAAGAAGAGCAGGCAGGAAATGGCGTCTAAGGCGACTTCAAATTGCAGTTCAAAATTCAGACACCAGTTCATTTTTCACTAGGCTCCGGACGTGGGGTGGGCGAGGCGAAGATATTTGCTGTGAATTCGGGAGAAAGTTGTAACAAAGAAAATCCAAGAGGAGACGAAGTTTTCCACCAGCAGCATTGAAATACAAAAATAGTGAAACCTTGCAGAAGGAGCGTCAGGCGAAAAACAGTAACAGGGCCAGAGTGTTTCGGGACTTACGTCAAGCAGAGGAATCAGTTCGTTCACATCGAATGGTGGGGAGAGGAGCCTCTTCCCGGTTTCCAGGAGTTTTTCCTCCAGCTCCTTCTCCGCGCTCGACATCTCGAACAACTCCGTGGTCCCCCCTGCCCGGCCACCTCCCGGCACGATTCACTCACTCCATGAGACCTAAAAACCCTAAAAGAATTAGAGGGTCTCAGCAGGCGACACACAATGCGTGGAGTAACGAGGAGAACCACGCGAGGCGACCTCACTCCGAAGAACCAACCCAAAGAGAAAGCCGCAGTCAACCCCGAACAAAGACGCGGGAAGCAAACTAGGGTTTCAGAAAACCTAACAGTCCTCTCGTTCTCCCTCGCTGGGGCAAAAGGAGCTGCGCGCCACACGGCACAGAACGAGGCTCCCGAAAGACGGCGAGAAACGAACCCTCCCCAGGGGGACCATGTGACATCATCGTCGAGACGGAAGCACAACGTCTTTATAAATATATATATATATATATATAAATTTTTTTCCTCCTTTACAAAATAAAATAGCACTTGGTTAGTATCCTGCAACTACACAGATCCCGACAATTTTCAGAATAACACATCACACGGCGTGCATCAAAGAATAAAATTATCGCATATATATATAAATACTAGCTCCAGATAATAAAGATAATATATAAATAAATAAATAATAATAGTTCCAGATAGTTTTCGTCATATATTCGATTTGGAAGTACGATTTGGAGAACCCTGGTCTTGGACCTGGTGATTTTAAGGCCCAATTGCTGCGTTCTGTGAAGTGCCCAGAATGCTGAAAAAGGCGGCATCTTGGGCCGTGCCCATGCATGCCGTCTCAGAAACCACCAAGAAGACGAACAAGGTCGGTCCTTCAGCTCCAAGATGGATCGTACATTTCTCCGCTCTCTCCAAGAGGAATATATAAGCAAGGGGAAGAAGGAGAGACGGTCCTTCCAGTGAGGTCAACCAGGCCGGCCTCCTCCCCAGCTCCTTATTATGGCGGAGGGGTGGGGCCTCTAACCCATGGTGTAGGAAGGTGACGGGAGGTTGATGACGGTGCTCTTCACCTTCGTCATCATGTTTATACTGTTAGTAATCCCCTGCGAGCCGATGCCACTGTCTTTCAAACCCTGCAACGACCATGTTTTTTACGTGGGATTCCTGCGCAGTTAGCCACTCTCCATCGAAGAACAGATTCTACGGAATCGCATGTAGTACCCACCTGGAAGGGGAAGTGATCCGGGCCGCGAGCGGGAGCCGAGTTGATCTGCACCGTTCCCGTTTCCATGGCGTCGCTGATCATGATAGCTTTGACGATGTCCCTCGTGAAGACGCATCCCTGCAGGAGGGGGGGAGGGGGGGAGAGAGGAAGAAAAAGTGGGGATCAGAAATGAAGAGGGAGGAGGAAGGAGGAGGAGATGGTCCGTGCGGTACCTGGAGACCGAAGTTGCTGGCATTGCAGTGGTGGATGCCTTCTTCAATGGAGTTGATGCGGATTACTGGTAGCACCGGCCCGAAGGGCTCCTCCCAGGCGATTCTCATGTCCGGGCGGACGTGATCCAGCAGCAGCGGCCATATGAGGTTGCCTTCCCTCTGGTACTCCTGGCAAAAGGTGGCGCCTTTCTCCTTCGCGTCCATGACCAGCCCTTCTATGAAGTTGGCCGAGGACTCCGTCACCACCGGAGTGATGTCGCAGTCGTCCTCCGGCGGCCCGACGGTCAGCTTAGCCAACTTGGCGTTGACTTTCTCCACGAGGGAATCGGCAACCAATTCCATCACCAGGACGACCTTCACTGCCGTGCACCTCTGCCCGCTGTGTTATTAAAATAAAGAGTAAACAAAGCCTGAGCTGTGTTTTTCCCAATTTTAATATATATATATATTAATCAGGAATCATCGAAGCAAGAGATCTTCCGTTGACGTTACAGAAGCAAGCTATGGTAGATGAACGACGGATTTTACCTGTACGAGAAGCCTCCTTTGACAATGTTGGCCGCCACCAAGTCCAGGTCGGCATCCTCCAGCACTATACAGGCGTCCTTCCCCCCCAGTTCCATCTGGAGCGGGACCATCCCGGCCTTCTTCGATATGGCGATTCCGGTATCTCCGCCAGTGAAACTACAGCGGGAAGACGAGTCAACTAGTCACTGAATGCCGGAAGAAGCTAGTATTTAGCACCACCATAGAATTCCGAAGGTGGCTGACTGGCTACCTTATACAGTTGACTCCAGGGTGCATGGTCAGAAAATCCCCAATCTCCGAGCCTTTTCCGGTGACACAGCTGATGAGGCCTTTGGGGAACCCGGCCAGATGGAAGCAATGTACCATGTGAAGAGCGGCCACGGCTCCCTACAGGGTATGTATTTCTTCATCAAGTACTTCCACATTGAGAGATTTTACGAACCAAGGGTTCAATATATTTAGGAGCAGATAGTATGGATGAACAGGGGGTGTATTCTTTGAAGCATTGATATGAATCTGTTACCTGGGTTGGGGGCTTGAGCACAAGCGAGTTGCCGGCAATTAGTGCCGGGGCGATCTTGGAGACGGCCAGATTAACAGGATAGTTGAAGGGGGGAATCGCCAGGACGACTCCCAATGGAATCTGCGACAACATCACCTTGCCACTTTAAAAGCTGCTCGGAAATGTAAGAAGCGGCTGTGCTGTGATGACTAGTCGATATGTTTTAATGCAATTCTTGGGAAATCTTCTTTATCACAAGTCGACAGACCAAAGAGAATACAAGAAAGAATCCTATCAGATGAAAAAGCACACAGAAAGAAGAAGACTACCAGTGGTTCAAAACGATGAGTAAAAGAGGTGGAAGGAAGAGGAAAACTCTCGGACACTGACCTTGGAGGTGAGGCAGTACTTTGTGCGTTCGTTGCCAGGGAAGCTATCGGAGACGAGGAATTTGCCCTCCCCCAGGAGTCGTACCCCTTCCTCGGCGGTGTAAGATATCAGATCCCCCGACCGGACGACCTTCCCGTCATTAACTCCCGTCAGAAAATGAAAGCGAAATTTCGTGAACAGGAAGGTGCGCTGCATCAACAAGTTGAAAATAGACGAGAAATGCGCACCTCGATGACCGCGTCCTTGGCCGGCTTGGCGATCTCCTTTACGAGGCATTCGGCGATGGGCTCCCGGTGCTCCTTGAGGAGGGCGGCTGCCTTGTGGAGGAGCTCCGCCCGCTTCCACAGAGGGGTCTTAGCCCACGCCTTCTGTGCCGTCTTTGCCACCTCCATTACCTTGTTCACCTCCACCTGCGTGCATGCTGGAGAGGGAAGGGAAGACAAAGGCGAGAGAACGCACGCCGGCGTTCCGACCCGATAAGTCGCGCTAATGGAAGGAAGGACACCTTCGTCTGAAACTGATAATTCGACCGCCGGAATATTCCGAGCACGGCGAAGGGAGCATGCGAAATGCTCCCCTCGTTATTTAACTATTTTTGTGACATTCGTCGTGAATCATCTGTGGGCCACGGCACACGCAGAGCGGATTTCTTTTTTTAATAAATCAAATGAAACAAATCTGAATAGTTTCCAACACGATCTTGCATTCGTAAACGAAGATCACATCAGGAAGAGCCGAGATATCAGAATTCATCAACGACTGTCGTCCTTTCGCTGATTCTGGGGAGGAGCATAGTGAATGCAAGAACAACAGAGCGACGACGGCTTCGGATCGTAAAAAATTCGCCGCAAGACCTCCAAAATAATGCAACATTGCGGGGAGAAACATACAGCAACGCCCGAATTCCTCTGATCGAGCAAAAACCAGCGTCCAAACCGAACAAAAACGAAAGGGGAAGAAAAGAGGGAGACCTTGTGGCCAGCCCTGGGGAAAGACTACAAAGAAATAGGGCGGAGGTTGCAGGCCCCCTCACCTTGAACCTTGTAGTGCGTCTTGCGTGTGGTAGGGTTGATGATGGCGACGGACTTGCCGGAGGACGACTTCCTCCATTCCCCTTCGGAGTAGTACTTGTACACATCCCCGTCTATGATCTCCTCGAACACCCCAGTGCCGGCCATCTTCCTCCTCAACGGCAGCCTTTCCTCTCCGATCACTTCTTTGCAGTAGGTACGAAGAGAAGGCGATGGGCTATCACTCCAAATCCTGAGCTTCAAAAAGTGCAGAGGGGAGTATAAATAGGGAAGACGACCGCCGCGCATCTCTGTGCCAGCGAGGGGGAGCAGAGAAGTTGGGAGCCGGGAGTGTATGGTGGCGAGCTAACGCTACGAAGAATCACAAAAGGGGTAAACATTTTACTTAAAACTACAATATTGCCACTCTTCGCCGCCATGTACTCGTGCGTCCGGTTTCTCGGCCACGTGGATCACCGCACGTCCCCACATTCTCTCTTTTGATCAGATTAAAGGCACAGTGGTTTTCGCGTTATTTTAGATTCTTGTAGTGGTTTTTTCATATGAGGGAGACGCTGGGGTAGTTGGCGGATGGCACGCGGCCATTGTATCAACCGTCCCCCAACTTCCCTCGGCCGATGTGGACCATGAATTCGGTGAACCCTTTCCGGCGGGCAACCGTCAATCCAACGGCCATTCTGTGGTCGGCACTGGACGGTCCTGATTCAATATCACATTTAACGGCCCGGGACCACGAACTAGTGGCGTGCGTGCATACAGCACGCACTGTGGGCCATCTCAAAGATTGGGCCCATACAGAAAATCTTTTTTTGGGCCTGCTCTACAGGCAACCCACACTGGCAAGGCCCATTAATGTGATCCCATCGGAACGACCGACAGCGGGGACAGGGTTTCTGGAGGGGCCTGACCTGGAGATGACGTGGATAGGCCACGACCAGCCCCTCCTGATCCACACTGGGCCAGAAATTCTGCGCGCCTTGATTGCCTACATCAACGTGGTTCAGTACGGGTCCACGTCACCCTGACTGGACCTTTCAGGTTAGCAATAAACAGGAACGCTCCAATGATGTTCCTCCAGATGTCAAACTCGAGAAAAACGTTCGCCCCGTGGGGACGACTTTCTCGGAGCCGGTGTCGGCAAACGCGGGTTTTCGGATCCCGAGAGAGGGACCAAAAAACCCGATTAGTAGTCATTTAAGCCCGAGCCCGAGTTGGCCGAGGGGAACTCGAGCGGGTGGTCTAACCCGGGGGGGGGAGGGATCGGGTCAACTCGCTACGACTCTTTCCGCTTTCTCAGACTGTGGGCCCGGGTGTTCTCTCCCGCTTTTTTCTATTCGCTTCTTTAAACGACCGACTCGGTCAGAGTCGTGCGCGCCTCTGGAGCGAGTCGACGATTCGAAAGTCGAGTCCACGTGTATAATTCATCCCTATTGTTCGCAGAATTAATAATACATATATATTATTTATTTAGCAACTACTGTATTTACCGCCACGAGGGAAGAGAGAGGGAGTGAGAGTCCTTCCACATCGGTTATGGCGCCTATTTATAAATGAGCCTGGAGTCTGAACGGGCGAGGGAGTTCTCCAATGTCTTCTGAAGCAAGTCTCATGGCCTGTTGATCTCTCTCGCGCTCCCGCTGCGGGCAATGTGAGAAGTTGCAGCAGCTATGGCCACATGCAAGGGGAATGATGGTGGATCGTTCATCATGGAGCGGGCCGCCGGCGGTGGACTCCGCCTCTGGTCTCTGTTCTCCGGCACCTCCTTCCGGAGGAAGCTTATTGAGGCTCTGATGTGCGGTGTCTCCCAGGAGGAGAGGGAAGCCAGCGTCGGCGATAACTGTCCACCACCGCCGCCGCTGAGAAGGGAAGAGAGAGAGAAGCCGGGACCCGCGCCGTTGGAGGAGTCCAGGCGCCACACCAAGTCCGAGCGGCTATCAGTGTTGCTAAAGCTGGATGTCATGGAATCGGGATCGGAGTTGGAGGCAGAGACACGGAGGAAGATGGAGGCCTTGGAGGTGCTCCAGGGTGTCGTGAAGAGGCTACAGCCTCGCGACGATGTAGAGAATGAGCAGGATCTTCGAAAGATGGAGGCCGCGAAGGATGTGAGGAGGCTGGCCAAGGAAGATACGGAGGCGCGGGAGACGCTGGCAATGCTGGGGGCGATTCCTCCCCTCGTAGGAATGCTCGATTCCGCTGATGTCAATATCCAAGAGGCTTCACTCTACGCTCTTCTGAATCTCGGCGTCGGCAACGACAAGTAATGTCCACTTTCATTGGCGTCTCCTTCCTTGTATTTTGGAATCTCCAGTTCTTATCCTAGTCTTCCTCTTATGTTTTATCTAGTGTCAATCGTTCGCCTCGTAGGAACAAGGCCGCCATCGCCGAAGCGGGAGCTGTCCACAACATGGTGAAGCTTATCCAGACGACAAGCCTTCCACTGAGCTTATCGGAAGCGATCGTTGCTAACTTTCTAGGTCTCAGCGCCCTCGACGCCAATAAACCTGTTATCGGCTCCTCCGGTGCGATCCGCTTCCTCGTTGAGACCTTTCGGAACCCCGCCGCGTCCCATGCACTGGCTAAGCAGGACGCTCTTCGCGCCCTCCTCAATCTCTCCATAGCCGCCGAGAATGTCCCTCATATTGTCGATGCTGGGCTCGTCCCCGACATCGTCGCTGCCGTGGGAGACATGGAGGTGTCAGATAGGTTGCTATCTGTGCTCTCAAATGTGGTTTCCACGGTGGAGGGCCGGAGGGCGGTTAGGCTCTCGCAGGAGGCAATCCCCATCCTGGTCGACGTGCTGCGCTGGTCTGATTCACCGGGGTGCCAGGAGAAGGCGGCTTACGTTCTCATGGTGATGGCTCACAAGGCGTACAATGATCGGGCGACGATGATCGAGGCGGGGATCGTGTCGTCACTTCTGGAGCTCACATTGTTCGGGTCGTCCCTTGCGCAGAAGCGGGCATCACGGATACTGGACTGCTTGAGAGTAAACAAAGGCAAGCAGGTGATGGAGGGATCGGAAGCTGGTGGTGCAGGCTTCAGCGGTCCCGCCGTGTCTGCGCCCTTGTGCGGTTCCAGGCAGGAGGAAGGAGGGCTGGAATGGGACGATGAGGCGGGAATAAGCGAGGAGAGGAAGGCGGTGAAGAGCCTGGTTCAACAGAGCCTGCAGAACAACATGAGACGCATCGTGCGCCGGGCCAACCTGCCGCAGGACTTCGCTCCGTCCGATCACTTTAAGACGCTCACCGCGACCTCCACTTCCAAGAGCCTCCCATTCTGAAAAACGCCCAACTCCTAGAGACGTTGAGACCCAGAGAGGAGAAAAGAAGTTAGGTGCGCCACTGTCTTTCTCTAGTCATTTCTCCGTTGTATTTTATTCATACTGCTCCAGCGACCTCTCTCTTGGAAGCATCTCCAGATCCCGTTCTCGCCAACTGTCAGCTTTGGACGGGGACTAGATCCATACATCTGTAGATCTTCATTAATTTTCGAATTTGGAGCGCAATGATACGAATTCACTTCATCAATCCGAGGACCATTCTGTCGTTTCTCACGAGAATTCTAGATGGCCTGAACTCATCGGGAGCTGCCTCCTTTTCCTTTTCTAGGGAGAAATCTTCAGCTTTCCGCAGACCCATGAACAAATTGAAACATTCTCCCATCTTCTCAAGCCCGCCTCGCCAACCCTCATCAATCTCTGTGCATTTGCAGGAATAGAGCAGGGAACGACGCTTTTGGGAACGTGGACGCAAGAGTCGAGGCCTTCCTTTCTCCCCGCCCCCCCGACCGACGCTCTTAAGGAGACACGCATAAGATAAGATCTTCTGTACCCACCATCGTTGTACAGTTTCTAGTTCCCCTTCTCTCGGCACTCTGGGGGATCGATCCCTCGGTGGTGATACTCGGCCACGGCTGTCCCCGACATTTGCCGAGCTTCCATGGCAAGTAGTTACACCGTTGTAAAGCTAGCCCCGAGCTCTGACCCCGCCTTCGTCCTTTGGCCGGCGCTGTTCTTGGCCGTGGCGAGCTTTTAATGCTTCGAGTCTCTCGCTCATTTACTCCTCCCCGTCTCCGCCGATGGCACGTCTCTCATGATCGATGGCCCCCACCCTTGAGAGAGAGAGAGAGAGGGGGGGGGGGCTCATGTGACGTCATCATGGTGGGATATCACTAATTCTGGAAATCTTGGTTAGATAAATAATTACACACCTGACGCTATGCTGGCAGCGATTCCAAGCCCAGCTCGCCATAAGAAAATTGATTCCGCAATCTTGGATTCCGCAACTGGTTTTCTTTTCATGTTTCCAATGGTTGCTTCGTTTGGTTAACAAATTATGGTTCGTTAATCAATAAATACCGAACAAGGATATAATTTCAAAGAGTAACCTCCTGGGGAGTCGCGCTCGGTGACTTCTGTTTCCGGCCCATAAAACGGGCATATTATCGGGCCAGCCCAGTAAGCCCACCAGAACGCCTACTGTCGTTCACCAATCATATGCCGCCACATGGAGTTCTTTTCCCCCCCCCCCCTCTTCTCCTCTCCCCACGCTTAACCGCCTGTCAGAATTCTGGTATTTTCATCGTACACTCCTTCCCTACGCCAATTCTTCCCGCCCAGCCACCTTCGCTCTGACCTGAGCGAGAGACGGCGACGGCGACGGCGACGGCGGGAGTTTGAGCGGCATTGCTGGCTGCTGGCGGAGATCACCTCGCCGGCCACCGCGATTCTCAGTCTATCCCTGTTGGTAGAGGAACGTCTCATGTTTTGAGCTCTTATTTTCTTCTTCATTCTCTAGAACAATCTAGGGAGATCACTCGAAGTTCAGCGACTGCTTTCAGGTTGATGGTGCCGATTCTTCTTCCTCTTTCCAAGGGATTTTGAGGATAAAAGGCTCGGAGTCTGTCGACTGGTTTCTTGCTGTGCCGCATGGTCTGGCGGGGGGAAGACGACGAGGCGGGGGGAAGAGTGAAGAGGTATGTCGGCCGTCGCCGAGGGTGACGACGGAGTGCAGATTAGGGATGTGTGGGGTGACAACCTCGAGGATGAGTTCGCCATGATCCGCGACATCGTCGACGATTTCCCGTACGTTGCCATGGACACCGAGTTTCCGGGGATCGTCATGAATCCCGCCGGGAGCTTCAAGACGAAAGCGGATTTCCACTATCAGACGCTCAAGGCTAACGTCGACGCCCTCAAGTTGATTCAGCTGGGTCTCACGTTCTCTGACGCGTGCGGCAATCTCCCCAAGAGCGACACCGGCCGCCAGTGCGTCTGGCAGTTCAACTTTCGGGAGTTCGATCCTGAGAAAGATGCCTACGCGAGTGCCTCCATTGATCTTCTCCGCGGAAGTGGCTTTGACTTCAAGAAGAACGCCGAGAAGGGGGTTGACGCTCAGCGCTTCGGCGAACTGCTCATGTCATCCGGCGTTGTGCTCAATGATTCCGTCCGGTGGATCGCCTTCCATAGCGGCTATGATTTTGGGTACCTACTCAAATTGCTTACCGGCCAGAACCTGCCGGACACCAGGGCTGGATTCTTCGAGCTGCTCTCCGTGTTCTTTCCCATTGTTTATGACGTGAAGCACCTCATGAAATTTTGTAACAGCCTCCATGGAGGTTTGAACAAGCTCGCTGAGTCGTTAGACGTTAAGAGGTTTGGCGTCTGCCACCAGGCAGGGTCAGACAGCTTGCTCACTTCGTCAGTGTTCAGGAGGCTGAAGGAACTGTTCTTTAATGGTTCACCCGAGAGATATTCTGGTGTGGTCTATGGCATCGATTTTGAGTACGATGAGAATAAACGCTGAAAAACAGAAACAATAAATGGCAATAAGAAAGATCAAGGATGCTTGAATACCCTCTGGTATGACCTTCTTCAATTTCCAGTCTTTGTGCATATCTTCTCTGACATGTAAGACGACTATGGTGATAATCTTCTCCATACTCGGCAAGTTATAATTATTTATTTTTCCTGAATTTGTGCAAGTCTGACATAATGCTTCCATCGATTTTTTGAAGAAACGTGATTCTTTGCCTGTGGAATTGCGTGCCTAGTCCACTCTTGCTGTTGTGGAAAACTGCTACATGCAGGGGACTACCTCTGTTTAATTCTATCCAAAATGGTTCCTCGTGTTTTGTTCGATCTTCTTGTGCGTAGGGTATCATGAATGAGCAATACTGATAGAGCTGACCGAGTTTAATGTGCGAGATATATACTGGGATGAAAGGAACGATGGAAGATCGAGGCAATAAATTCATACAAAAACCAAGCAGCATATGGTTTAATGATCCATCTGGATTTGCTATCTGTCATTGAATGAAATTGATGACGAAGGATGCAACCATTCAAGATAAGTTGGTCTTACTATATTTAGACTCGTTTATTTATAAATTTATACGAGATCCCTTTTTGGTTTTTAGTAAAATAGGAAGCATTTGATTGTACTGAAGCATGCCAAAGAGATTTTTTTCAGTGACCCGTTTGGATTTGCGATCCGTCATTGAATGAAATAGATGACGAAGGATGCAACCATTCAAGATTCGGTGGTCTTACTATCTTTAGACTCTTTTATTATAAATTTATGCGTGGTTCTAATAGGTACGGATGAACATTTCTTTTTTTTTTTGGTTTTTAGTAAAATCGGAAGCATTTGATTGTACTGCAGCATGCCAAAAAGATCGTTTTAGTGACCCGTTTGGATTTTCGATCTGTCATTGAATGAAATAGATGACGAAGGGTGCAACCATTCAAGATAAGGTGGAATTACCATCTTTAGACTCTTTTATTATAAATTTATGCGTGATTCTAATAGGTAGGGATGGACATTTTTGATTGTACTGCAGCATGCCAAAAAATCGCGAGAATTTTTTTTTACTGACGTTTGGTATCTAGGGACTCTCTGGTTCGTCAGTTGTGTTTTTTAGTGATTCCTCATGGTTTTTTCTCATCATACATTTTGCTCATTAAATTTTTATACGAGCAGATGGTTGAATCGTTCGGCTTTTAATGATAGTGAAAAAAAAGGGAGTTGGAGCATTCAGATGCCTCAACTCTTACCTCTAGAGAGAGAGAGAGATGAGGGTTTGAGAAAGTATCACCAATCTAGGAAGATAGGAATATGGACTGGTGGACATGGGCTAGACCATGGTAGAGGGTATATGATATACACATCAAACATTGCCTAATGGCCCAAAAAGGAGGTTCCAACGGAGGTGATTTATTGATTCTTTTTCTCTAATGGACGTGAAGAAAAAAGGGTGAAAAATTGAGAAAGTAGGGGTGCATATTCCTTGCTGGACGTCGTAGGCGTATACAGATCACGCCGCATATAGTGACGATGGGCCGAGTGGGTGAGTTTCGAAGCCCGGGCTAATGTTACCTGCTCTTATGGGTTTTGGGATTCAAATAATGGGTACCATTCAAAAGCCCATAATCCAGTATAGGCCGTGTCAAATGTTACTGGTCCAGGATGCGCCTTAGAGCTTCCCGGGTTAATTATTTGCCAGACTGGGCCGAGGTGAACCGTTAGCGGCTCAAATCCTGTGGGCTGGGCCAAGACTCAAATCTAGTTTTTATTAGGCTCATCTAAATACCTGGAACTGCGGCCCAACAAGGTGCGGCGTATGGAGACCCCCCCCCCCCCCCCCCCCTCAACCGCATGACCGTCGGAACTGCGATTCTGGAGAAAGCATCCGGACCGTAGGTTAATCTGGATGTGGGCCCCAGTGGTTTTCCCTTTACCCGCGCGGTTCTGCGAAGGAAGATTCCTCCCTTCTCCTTTTCTGATTCAGCCATCGGCAAGGTGTCCTGCTCCATCTTAGGGTTCCTCTGCTCTCTGCGTTTTTTCTCCTTCTCGCGGCTGTCCCACCTGCGCCCCAAGCGAAGATGGTGAGCTCGCTCTCGCTTCCCGCTCGTCTGTAGTTTCCCTTATTTCGGTCGGATTTTCGGCCTCTCTCTCTCTGTGTCTGATCTGAGTTTCTCATCGCCCGCTCTCGGCATTCGTAGCCGTCGCACAAGAGCTTCATGATCAAGAAGAAGCTGGCGAAGAAGATGAGGCAGAACAGGCCCATCCCTTACTGGATCCGCATGAGGACGGACAACACCATCCGCTACAACGCGAAGAGGAGGCACTGGCGCCGCACGAAGCTCGGGTTCTGAGGATTCCTTCTTGAAGTCCCTACAGGAGGGTCGTGCCTCACTCACTCCCCTCTCTCTCTCTCTCTCTCTCTCTCTCTCTCTCTCGCTGTTCTTGTGAGGCTCTCAGTAGATAGATGGATGTATGGATGGATAGATTGATAGATAACCCTCCTACTGGACGGAATTATATCCTGCCAATTTAACTCGATCTACTGTGATGGTGGTGCTCTGTTTCTGGACTGGATTCGTGGGAATCTATCTATTTTAACCTAGCTGCCATCGCTCTTTTATCTTTCTTTCTTCATCCCCAAAGCTACTACACTGGAAGAGCTCTGTTGCAGGTAGGCATTTCACAGGCTGACATCTTGACTTTGAGAGAGTGGCATGACGAGCATCGTCCCTTCAATGCTAGCTTTGGAAACTTTTGAAACCAGCTCCGTCCTCTTCTGCTGGTCTGGTTCCTATCGGGGATATCCGGGTCGGCTCTCTCTCTCTCCTCGGGCATTCAATCTGAGAACAGTAGACATTGTTGCCCCTGGGTTCAATCATAGACTAAGTGAGGATATGGTGTTCCAAAGAAACGACGATGGGAGAGTTCTCCAACTGGGTTGGTTCCTCGAAGAGGCAATTCGAACACTGGCGGCTATCTCCATCTTATCAGTCCATCCTCCCCTTCAAGGTTCTCTCCTGCACTTCAGTCGGAGTCCTGTGATTTGCCCAAAGAGACAGCACAAGGGTTCGCTCAGAGATGGGAGAAATTTACCAGCGAAGGCAAGGAAAAAAGGTAAGAGCGAGAGATGATAAAATAAAGAGAAATTTCCTCGCACATTTTTTATATATATAAAAAAATAAATCTCATTTTCTCTGGTTGCACTTACACGAGCACAACGTATCCTCCCCAGCCGCTCAAGCAATCGCGGTCGACGGATGAGAGAAGCGCCTGGGAGATTGTTTCGAACAGTTCTTCGGGCTCCTGTAACACATTTCCAAGATCAAGTTTTTATTTTTTGCATCAAATCAAGTCACACTGTGGTATGTATGAGCCATTCACTGACCATGTCGGGCTTGTACATGGACTCGCAGGCACCGTAGAGAGACTCGGATGCAGTGCCAGACACCACGAAGTCTTTCGCTAGCTCCCTGCAGCATCACAAGTAGAGGAATATGCACACACACACACACACACACACGTGAAAATGAATCATTTCTGCTGTTCATAGAAGATGCTAGCTATATGAAGTGTATTGAGCCGCCTATTTATTTAATCTCACAAGATCATTCAAGACAATTTGAGGGAGAGATTGATAGGCTGGCTGCTCACGACACAAGATCGTTTGCTAGCTTTTTTGAGTCCAGCAAGTATCGTTTGATTCCATCTCCAGGCCGGGACGTGGGATACTAAATGGATGATCGATCTTGGTGGGTCCAAATGAAACAGAAAGAATTCTAAAGAGGAGATAAACATGAACCCAACTGAGGCATGCATGCATTCCGTCTTTCAAATCAGAGTTAATCCAGATATCTTTTACCTTGTTGTATCCGTATCCTTGGAGAATTTTTTTTATTAGAAATATAAACTAAGGTGAGTAACTGCGAAATCGGTAGGAAGGGGGGGGGGGGTTGTTGATCCAAAAACTTTCTGCTTCCAAATAAAAAGGATATGGTGTTCTAAGAATGACTGACAAAAAGTGATTTCAAGGGATTCAGCAGATCTAACCACCCTCAGTGGAGGTTAGAATGTACCAAAGGAAAGGAAGAACTCTGAGCTTAAGAGCTAAGATTGTTGAAGTAAGAAATGTCAAATAAACTTGACTTGGGCGTGAAACATATTGATTAGCAAGTGTATCATCTGCATTCATTTGTACGCATATCATGGTGTTCGTCAAATAACTTACTTGGCGCCGATAGCATCCATTGTGCAAATGAACGGGACATCATCATCTCCTAGTCCAGCAATCACGGGCATGCAGAAGTATGGACCAAACCTATAAGATAAAGTAAGTAGCAATCGGCTTCATGCTATTTCATGTCCAAGATATATAAATCTATGGACAAAAAAAAGAATAAATAAAATGAGAGGAAATATCTTATCATTTGAGATATCCGTATATTTGAGAAAAAAAAAGGCATGCTATTTGCTACAAGAATAAATAAAACTTATTGCAATACATGGACACAATTTTAACATTCGATAGATGTCTGAACCGAACCCATACACAAGTTCTACGGCCTATGATAAATATCATACGTATTTTTTGCCCTTATTAGTTGAGTGATTTGATGTGAACATAAGCAACTAAATTTTAAATTACTTTTGAACGTTTAAAGGATTAAAATTATTGCATTCATTGCAAATCATTATATTTGTATTAATGAAAAACGTTTCCTTTTGCAAATTAGGAGATTAGGTGATTCAAATCACGGAATGAAGAAAAAAAAAACCCAAGATCAAGGTCATTATCCTTAGCGATTTTTAACTGATTTCCATAGCATAAACAAAGGAAATTAAGAGGTGATTTCTTAGAATGTCGTCATTATTGCAAATATGACGAGAGTGATGTACCTATGGCTACTCACACAAAAGCTAACTAAGTAATGAAGCCCTGGAGGCAGTTGTGAAATCACAAAAATATAGAATTCATGGTAGCCAAAAATATAAAAACGGATACAGCACCACGTACAACATCCCATGCACACTAAAAAGAAGGGGGCCCAAATACTCTCATTACTGATGGCAACATTTGAACACTCATTAGCATATGTGCATGCATAGCTGAACTGCTATCAGCACAAAGACCTGACATGGACATAGAAAAGAGTTTCTGCTTAACTCCTCTAATCCCAAAACGTTCACTTCTAATCCATGTCCCTTTGAAAAAAATGCACCAAATACTACAAAGAGGTGAATCATGCATGAATCCAATAGTGACTCATTCGTGGGATCATTCAACACAAGAAAAGACTAACTGGTTTTATATTCGTGAGTTATATTGCGCCAAAAAATTAAAAAAAACAACAAAAACGTATGTCGTTATTCATTAGTATATCATAAATTGGAATCTAAACAAAAGCTGAACTGGTTTCATTTTGATCCGACAATCTTTCAGGGTTCTTGCTTCCTTTGCCCTAATTCCTCATTAAGGCGTGAGTTTTATTCGTGATACCAGGTTCAGATTTTTTTCCTCGAGAATGCAAGCTGTGGTGTCACTATGGCGATCAAGAATATCGCCCTACCCTATGTATTAATCCTAATTCCAGCACGCAACTTAAATGCTTCCTCATATCCGTTGTATCCTTTCACATGACACAAACCCTTATCTTTTTATATACCTCCAAGACACGAGAAAGTCCACTCCATTCCCCTTTTTGGTCATCAAAATGATTATCCTTCTTTCTCACCCATCTCCCAGACCCTATTATCTACCCAGCGTATTTTCCCCTTTCATTTAAAATATCAGTGCCATATCACAGGGCATAAATGATGGCACAAATTTCTCCATTTTATTCATTTTCCATGAGAAAAAGAAACCCTTGGCAACCATATATTGATTATACGTTAGTAATAAGCCAACCCCCAAGAGCACAACGAAACATAAACCCTTAAACTCGGAACATAGAAACAAGAGTATTTCATCCTCTTAAAAATTATTCACCAACTTAAAGCCACCCCTCGCTATTCCACCTGGACTCCCCTTTCAAAATGCACATCCACAACTCGAATAGATTTATTGATGCTAGCACTAATGTAGGAAAAAGTGTGCTTGCGGCTCTTTCTTCCCCTCCATAATGAAAGATGAAGATATTTAAAGTGCGCTTCCAAGATCTTTTTCCTCATTATTAGGAAAGCTATCCCGTTGCCAGATGATTGAGGCATACTTCTGTCAAGGACTAATAAAAAGGATATCAAGTAAAGAGTGGAAAAACCTTAAAACATAATATCCGGGACACCATTGTGTGATCATATATCATCTCATATAGAGTATCATGCAGTATCACATGTTTCTTTGATTTTTTTTGCTTCAATGTGGTCTGAAAACAGCGAAGGGACTTTTTTATGCGTTCCAAGGGATCAGCCTATCGGTCATCATCACGTACCGCTTGCTAATGTGATGTCATTTATTTGCCAGAGATTGCGTATCTTCTCCAACATTTAAAAAAAAACCATTCTCTACCGGAAATGCCTTTTTCAGTTTGCTAACTAAGGTGCTAAGGCCATGAAAACGTACGTACTTACATTGAGCGATTAATACTTGGGAGTTATGTGAGTGGATGACATCGTTTTTAATCATATGGATATCAGAATCATCATAACACTTTATGGGCTCTGCAGTGTCTTTTTTAGTATAACTATAGAAATTAATCTTATGTGATCTTCAACAGTAGTCATTCCAATTTCACCATGTCTCCAAATAGACGGTCATAATATAAGTTACAGAGTCGTCCAGACTTTTCTGATTGAATATCTTTTCAAATTTCTTTTGGATGTGAGAAACAGTATTTAAATTTTACCATATAATTTGGTTTACTTGGAGATGAAGTATTTCAACGTGTTTCAGCATACAAGCAATCATTCTATGTTGATTTTGTTTCTAATGAATTGACTATTTGAATAAAAAATGTCATTGCTGATTATTATGGGTTGTTGAACTATGGCATGATCTGTGTCTAAGACTGACCTCCTAAGGGAATATTTACTCGAACAGATTGCTCTCCATCTTTATTATTTCCATAAGACTATGTGCCGGACTTTCCAAATATCATTCTGGAGGTCAATTTCATTCTTCTCAGGTCTGGTTAGCTTAATAAGAACTCAGACGTCGAGCATCAAACACCACAAAGTAACGGCCTCCGCACGAAAAAAAAAAGTAAACAACAAGAATGAAGTAGGATATAAAATTCGTGAGAGCCCGCACCTCTTCTCATAGAGCATAGCCGACACTAAGCTAGCAAAAGTCTGAGGCTTCATATCCCTCTCCTCTCGCAAATGATACAGCTTGTGACGGAACACAAGCCGTTGGTGCCTATGTAATATGAAAAAATGAACGAGGTTGTCACGGGAGAATGAGGGAAACTCCCTCGCACAGTAAGGGATTAATCGGATGTATCCACTCACAGGGTCTGAACGTCAGTGGCGAGGCCGGACAGACCAATGTACAGCTTGTCGTGTATCTTGAAGATCCTCTGAAAATCTGTCGCGACGGTCTGGAGATTCACACCAAGCCGCCGATCGCTCGCTATGGCGAAGCAGTTCTTCCCAACCATCGCCACAACGGCGCTCCCATTGTACTCGAAGATCTGAGAGAAACATAGAAACCGGGATCATCAACAAGGACGCGGAGCTAAACAAGATAGACGTCGACAACCATAGCAACTTAGGGATTTCATTTACACTCATGGTTTCTGAATTTGCAGCTGGTCGATTGAACCGGGAAGGGCCAGGAGAAGGGGAAGCGGGAGGAGGGAGGCGACGTGAGAGAGACGACGCGGACAGAAATCGAAGACACTAAGTGGCTTGCCCTCCAAGATGCCGAAGAATAAATCGGAAGGATCGGTAACGCAGAGCGTCTCGACCTCGAGGGGTTTTCTGAGAAAAACCACGCACTTCTATAAAATATGAGACCTCGAATAATCTATTTTTCTATCTAACCTTGGTAGTCCATATATGTATATATATTTATAATTATGTATAATTTTGCAATATTATGTCTGAAGGGGATGGGATATTTGTCCCCGAATAACATCTCAAGTGAGTAAAAAGGATATATATATATATATATTTAAGATTAGGGTTTAAAATTAACGCAAGTGAATAGTCTATCAAAGAAAAATAGTAAACTTTGCTAGCCTTTCTTGGTCCAATAGTGTCCTTTATTTAATAATTTAACACATAAAAAATAAAAAAATATTTTATGATACTTTTTCTCACGCATAATTTTATTGAAGAAACCCTATAAGGAGAAATGAGTAATTAAATTTTAGAGTCAATAAATTTTAGGTTTTTTTTTTTACTAATGACACCTATGAGTGATATATCCTTGAATTAGCTTTATTTGGGTTTTTAGCCCTCAAATGAGCGTATTTATGCCATTTCCCCTCATAATAATCTGGACAACAATTTAACTATTTCAAAACTGCATAGACAACGAAAAATGATGGATTTTCCAATAATAGGAACAAATTCGCTGATTGAATCGGCCTCATCATTGTTAACCCCCAGCTGATCTATCCTCTCGCCTTCAAGAGCAGCCTCTTCCACGAGGTCAACTCAGAGGGTAGGATATCCTCGTCCTGGGACATCACAGCTTGAGAAGTCAACTTCCCCAGAAGACCATGATAAAGCAGACCTCTTGCGCCGAGACCTCCAACGAGCCAGTACCTGCGTTGACCCTTATCTCCCACGATATCGTCCAGACAGCCAAGGAGAGGCAGCGAACCAAGAGGAGTCAACGGGGGCATGGCCCTCAGCCCCCCACTCGCCCCCACAGGGGCCCACCTCTCAATGGCAGGATACACAGAGGCTGCTTTCGGAAGAAGCTCGTCTAAAGCCCTGGAAGCCTCCTCTGGAGAAACACTGGATGAGTAGTCCCTCGACCCCCAGTCCCACGTTGACCCCATAACCAGGCTGCGCGGCCCCTGCACTGCAAGCCACGCGTCCGACAGGATTGAAGGGCTCCCATCTTCATATACATCACTGAAGAAGTCAACGGAGAAGATGAACAATAAATAATACATTTAATTAATGTAATGATAATAATAATAATAATAATAATAATAATAATAATAATAATAATAATAATAATAATAATAATAATAATAATAATAATAATAATAATAATAATAATAATCATGAGTAGGATTAAAAAGATGATTCATCTTACCTTGTAGCATCAGGAAGCTTCATATGAGTAACGATGCCTCTGCACAGTCTCAAAGGGAGCAGGCCCGAGAGCTCTGGAAGCATGGCGGCCTTGGCACCTAGACAGATGATCACGCAGTTGTAATTGCCTGTAAGACAATAAGAACCATGCTCGATTATGCCCCCAAATGCCGTAAAAATCTCTACAGAAGCAGTTCTGGAATACTTCTAAATATGGGCATGTTCTTGCGGAGTCACCCTGTAGCTCATGCAGACTTTCGATGGACCTCTTGAACAGATTGACTTCCATCCGTCCAGACCCGGCTGACGAAGCATCATCGGCCATGCTCTTGCAGGCTGAAAATAGTGCCTTTTGGAATGAATGTGAGATAAAAAGATGTTCTTTTTTTGTCTTCTTGCAATGCATAAAATGGATGATTAAAAAAAGAAAAAAAATCGTTTAGAAGATCTGATCTGCGATGGATTTCAGTACCTGGAGATAGCGACCGGCATGGATATTGACTGCGTGTGGCATGTAGATTGATGAATCGAAAGACACGCATAGCCCAGGAACCAGCTTCTGGGCGGCGTCCCGATCTAGAAATTCTCTCCTGAAGCAGCTGAGGGAGTTTGAAGCGTTCTAGACATGCAGTCTGAATCGTTAGTGCCGGCGGGTCAACATCTTTGAGAGCTGACTCAAGGAGAGACGATACCTCTTTCAGAATCTCTGCGTTCTTCATGGTGGTTGCTGGTCTTATGATCCCTCTGGATTGCAGCGGGATGGCATTAGAATTAGCTAGAGATGTCTGGAAGTTGAGAATGCAGATGAATAAAGTGGTGGAGGGAGTTGACCAGATAACCAGCGAGAGAAAAAAACGTCATCTGATATAAAACAGCAAGATCGAAGATGAATCAGCGCCCACATACCTTCTCCAGATCATCCGTTCCCCATCGGAGGTTGTTCCACGCTTTAATGTCTGCTCTGCAGCTGATAGTAGTTTCAGACACTCCCTCCAGAACTCAGCACTCCTCCATAGAAGCTTGCCTGCCAGCCAATGATTGCCATTCTCAGATTTCATGAGTCAACGCCGACCTGATCAGACCCAACAGGGGGATTTCATGATATTTTTTATTTTTTATTTTTTATAGAGGAGGATCACCGATGAAAGAATGGGATGGCGCCGAACCTTTAGGGGAGCAAGGATGAATGAGGCCTCCAGCAACGCCTGATGCGCCACCCCCGATTCCGCCCTCATCATATAAGTCAACGACGAGCGGCGATTCTTTGGGATTGCTCTGCAGCAGAGAAGACAAACAGATAATGCCCATGGGTTAGAGCTCTCCTCTGAGACAAAATCCAGATCAAGAGAGGAAGATGATGACGATGGAGCAGAGAAGGACCTCGAGGAGGTGCCAGGCCACGGATAAGCCCGCGAATCCCGCTCCGAGCACAGCGTACCTTCCCAAATTGTCACCGAATCAGACTGTCTGTTCATTCCACCGAGGGCTCAACGATGTACGACGGAGAAACAGTGAGGTGGGAGAAACCTGACAGGTTGAGGTAGTGAAGCGGATGAAGAGGACGTCGCCTTCGCGCTGCTGCTTCTTCTCCGGCGGACACATCCTGTGAAGCTTCCTCGCCAATCAGGGATGGCATTTTGGATGTCCTTCGACCGTCGCAGGGCTCCGCCGCAGAGGCAGAACCGGCTATCGAACGCCGCCGCCATGGATGAACCTTCCACAAAGCCGACCCCCTCTCACCTTGTCTCGCCCACCTTAGGACGCGCCGGCGGGCAGCTAAGACCAGTCATAGCGAGCTACACAACGGTCACCTGGAAACCCCTCCCTCTCTCCCCGCACATAATCTGTCATTGGGCTAACTCTCCCAGTTGAATAGACGACGACCTTCCATCCTCTCTCTCTCTCTCTCTCTAGTGGGTCAACGGAGGTTGGGCTTGGACTTTTGGAGGGCTTGGGCTGGAGCCCATTTAACGGGTCTATGTCAACGTCTCGGGCATCGACACCCCTAATGACGTGATATTTTTTTAATTAAAGCTGCGCGTGTGAACTAGAAGCGAAAATCAGAATGCATTCCAGAGTACAGGATGTCATATTGTAGATAGATTATAGACAAAGCAGTCGAGGAAGTCAACGGGGGGAAATGGCACCGACTTCTTGAGCAGGTCAACAAGGGGGCGAACCCAAAGGAACGCGTCAGAATGGGAGAGCGGAATCGGGCTTCAAACGATTCAGGCGAACGGTTCCGAGAATGTATTCTGGGAGTTCCTCTTCTTCCTTGGCCTGCGAGAGTTCCCATCGTCAGCAACATCACTAGAGCTAATAACTGACATCATCGAGGAGCTAATTTTGGTAATGCATTCCACCGAAAACACAAGGACCGGTGGATGAAGAGGAGCATAATCTTCTTTACTATTGAAAACATCGAACCGAATCAAAATCCCAGACCATCAAGCAGCTGATTCTGGGAATGCATTCCGCAGATAACATGAGCAGCTGCATGTAGAGAAAATACCAAACGGAGTCTCTGAAGCATCAAAGCAGCGACTTTCGGTCAACTCGAAAGCAGCGACATGGTTCTATGGAATAATCATCACACAAATCAGCGCAGTCAAACCCAGGAAATGAATTTTGCCCAAAGCATTGGGGCGTTGACTGCCCACAACTTCTGTGTACCATCACAGCCCAGGAGCGCGCACCAACAAGAGAAGGATATATCTCCATAGAATAAAAAATAATATGGAAGATTAGGCAGCCATTATTGCTGGTGCATAGCATGCTTCTAGCAGAAGTATGTGAAAAGATAAGACCGTTTGGAACCTCAATGAGAATTGCCAAGTCAACGGTCAGGCTTGTGACGTAGCCGAGTACTAAGCTCATGATGCTCCTGGCAACGGAGGATGAGCCAATGTCGACATCAATCTACACATTTCACAAGGGAAATATCAGAAGGCGAGGGAAGCCACAGAGTGAAAAGTGGAGGGATGATCCCAGGAGAACTGTCTGAGTGAAGCCAGATCAACAGGGCTGCAATAGAGAAGGCTGGCCCAAGGAGAAATCACCTCCAAGAAGTTATCTTGACGCAGATAGTTGCATGTCACTGCTTTCCCCAGGAGACAGGCCTTTGTTCCAACTGCACGCTTGACCATCCAGTATCCCTGGATGATTCATTCATTCGCTTATTGTGAAATAGTTCCATGGAAGATAAATAAAATGAAAGACGATTAAATATCTTCCACTCCACCGTGGAATAAAAAACTTCAAGAACAGATGAAATAGCATTTTCGGTTTGATAGTCTTCTGAGTGATTCACTAAGCATTCAGAGTATGCATGACCAAATCTTGGTTGATGCTTCATCAACTTAGCATGTTGAGGACGTTAAATGATTCTGTAAGACAAAAAATAGCAGTTCAAACCTCGACAATACTCGGAATTAGCTTGAACCTTCCATCCCGAAACATATCAGATCCATTGATAAATCTTCCCAGCAAGGAGTCTTTCTGTACACGTCGGTCAGCTGCATAGTACATGATCAAACTGTAGTTTGGTCTTGCAGGAACCTGAGAAAGTTATTAGATAATGACTAAGATTCTGGTCCATCAGTGATCAAAATATCATAAACACGTCCCTAAATCAGCCATGCACAACAAGAAAGAAGCCCACTATTTTTTCCTGGATATCCATTGATATGGACAATTCGTATCCCCAGAGTATCCAGAATTAGCTCCTTTATAAGCCTCTTCCAAAGTCAGCGGTTATTATGACGATTCACTCTTGAACTGCATAATTTTTTTTCGACTAATATATTGACTATTGAACTATAGGTTTAGCCTTGAGATATAATACTTGACAACATTACCAAGTGTCAAATTATCATCCCCCTAACGTGAGTTCAGAAAAGTTTAAAAATGATAAAATGGAATTTAAGCTGAAGGTAAATGATCAGGAGATACACCTGTAAGTTTATGATGAGAATGAACGGAAGCTTCTTTCCTGCTTCTGACTGAAAAAATAAAATAAAATCATCAGCATATAGTTCCATTTCACAAAGCAGTCGACAAAGTAGAACTCTAATCTCTGCATGTCGCATCACTTTTAAATCAAAAACCAATAAATGGACCATGATAGATTAAGTTTGGCAACTATGGTTGTATACAAGGTGACATGTAACGTATGATGGTGGAATGGTTCCTGCATATTACAACACAGTTATATAGGATACATGGATTACTGATGAATCAACGAAGTATTTCAACAATCAAATGAGGTCAACTACACCTATGTATAGATCCCTCTCAGATAACATCCAAACCAGAAAAAAATTACGTTGATGAATCTCCAACGTCACACTCAAATCCCATCAGAATCTACCTCCGGCGAAAAAAAATAAAATTGTATATGGGATAAAGAAATAATTATTTCATAAAATACAGAGAAGGGAAACTTTTTCCGATACACCTCATCAGATGTCAATTTTTTTGCTGAGAAAAACTCCACAAGTATTATTTCTTCACCTGAACAAGGCATTTTGGATGCAGTGCAACCTGATTTATGCAGTTGTCAGACTTGAGCCAGTCAACTGCAATCAGTTTTAAAAGGGGGTCTCCTCCCGTAATCTGAGAGCACCAAAGCATATGGTTAAGCTCCAGAAATACTTCTGAAAATATGAAGCTATTAATAGTTGTATAGTTTACTTCAGTAATAAATACGAGAAAAATAATTGCCCATCTATCACCTAGAGGATAATGCAAGTGATGTTCCTCTTAGCATGCAGTGTCATAAATAAAGCGAAGAGAAGTGCAGAAGTTCATCCATATCATACCATGTACCTTCTACAGACAGGTACAGTATCAATCACCTGAAATCCCACAATTATTCCAAGGATACAGTCAATAAAAAAGGGGCCATCCATCAGTCTAGGTTTAGACAAGTCCCTGAGGGCATCTGTCTATCGTTAGTGAAGCTAAAACAGACCATTTGAGAGAACATTTAGTCACGACAGCTTATCTCGAATAATGGGTAACATACCACCTTATTTCCATGGTGTCAGGAGGGTATGAACTCTAATCTTTTGATAAGATAGGTTACTATTGTACTTATTTCTGGTTTTCAGGTCTTTGACAAGGCTAGGATATTGAAGAAGGGATCAAGATCCAATTATGACCACAGAGCCAGAAAACAAAACGGAAGAGGTTCTAACCAGAAGAAGACCTCAAATTAGTAGTACCCAGTTTATGGTATTTGAAATATTTTATATTTCTGTTAAATTTCTGAAAGAAACAAGACTTCTTTTTGCTGAAAAAGAAGAAGATTAATGAGGAGGACCTACACGAGAAAAAATTCCACAACCAAGAATCAGTTTATGAAAATCTTCTGACTCAAAAATTTAGATTGGGTGAAATAATCCATATAGTCCACTTATTTGATGTTTCAGGTAAGTTTCAGCAAGAAACAACCCACGAAAACTGAAGAATATTACTATTTAAGAATGCCAATGTCCTTGATAGTGTATTATATAACACACATAATTCCATTTATATTCTAACACTACGTCATGAACCAGTGCTTTCACCTTCCTTTCCTTTTCACTTTAATGGTTATATCAGCAAAAGACAACCTTGAAAAGCTTAACTATTTCAACGGAGAAAATGATGCAGCCTCAGTTACACGGAGTTGAAATCTCGTCCTTGAATCCACAAGAATGTGATTATGTAGAAGATTCTTCATCTAGAATCTAAAAAATTTGGAAGCTTCAACCCTTGAATTCACAAGAGGTTGATCTTGAATCCAAAAGAACAGAAGGGTTCCCCTGAATCCACAGAAAAATCGCCATAATCCACCAGCAGAGATAAAATCTCAAAAGAAGGTAAAATGTAGAATTAATTGAATGTCTTTGGGACTACAAGGGATGGCCTTTAAATAAGCCGAAAATCAGTTATGACGCCCCTAAAAAAATGAACTTTTATTATTAGGCGCCTAAAATTTAAATATCTGCCCATTCAAATAATTTCGAAATGACTAAAAAGGAAAACGAAAATAAAAGTGAAAAAACTAAATTTGGATGCTGTTAACATGCGTTTTATTGTAGATTTTTTTTTATTGGGCCAGCTTTCATCTTCATGCTTCTTGGGCCTCTGGTCCATATCAGTTGGGCTTTAAATGGGCTAGATAAGAAGAAGTTCCATAGATATTCAGGATACTTCCGCATACATTACAGCGCTCTGTATCCAGAATCTGATTACTACTTGTATCTTCTAAAAGCCAAAAGGGTCTCCTCATTCGAGAATGAGAATGATACACATAGTTATTCAAAAAAGCCACACATGTAGCATAAAGTATGGCTACTCTAGATTTTTTTTCTAAAGTTGAAATGGTCTTTGATCGTCCAAAGATTATTCTACTTTGTACCTTTCTATTGAAAGGAATTTTTTTTGGCTCATACTACTTTTTTTTAATAAACGGCAAACAAGAGGCTTCATAAACAGAAAAGAAAATCCTCATTGTCTCAATATTGGGCTGACAGCTGGAAACCAAAATGATCAAAGTACTTCGCGGATATGTTATACATATCAAACAACTTAGATCGACAGGATAAGGCCTATGAACATGATCCTCAATATATCATTTCAACCTTTCTTTACATTCCAAAAATTATGAATCCACAATTTCAGCTCACAAATCTTATGTGAGACAATGAAAAGAAATAAATAAAAAAGGGAAAGAAAGTGAAAAGGTGATAGTTCTCGAATTCAAGCATGAAATTTCCACCCATCAAGAAGGCATTCACACAGCTCAAAACTTTACACTTGTTGTAAATTACTTTTAATAGAAATGCATCAACTGAAATTATCGGCCCCTAGCATGGTAATTGAAATACAATTTGGTTTAACCTAGCATATCTTACAGCCCAAGTTATACACCGGTTCATCAGCTTATGTGCCGAGTTTTGCAAACGCAAAATCTACTAACCTTACAGAAGTCATTCAGGTATGTCTTTCCTCTTATCATAAATTCGTCGCCACCTGGCTCAGCCCAACAATTTGTAACATTAGCACCTTTCCCATGGTCCAATGAACCCCGAAATTCTTTGAGATCAATAGTTGTTGAAGGCACACTGCAGTCTAGCTCACTTCTTTTAGCTAAATCTGTTTGAATAAGGGATAAAACATATAGAGCGATCAGTTGAAAATGCTGAATATTAAAAAAACAGCGAGCAACTAGTAGAATTTCCCAAGAACAGCATAATAAATTCCGGATTGGGGTCATGTAGACAACTTAGAGTACTAGACTATAGTATTCTCAAATTAGGTAAGGACCAAATCCGTTATATATTCAATGATTTCAGACCATAACCCAAGCCACGGTAGTTCTTCTAATACTCCTAGACCATCTTTTGGGTATTATAAGCGAGGATACAGAAATTCCACTGGCGAAAGAGTTGAGAATGCTTTTTTTAATGAAAAAGTACACGTGGAGGATAGGTGAATGAAGCTCTTTCCTTTCTACCCATTTTCTATGACTTGAGAAAAACGTCTAAATCCAAATTCGGTTTAGGCTGATTTTTTTAACTAGGACTTTCCAACATGATCCCAATGAGGCTTATCAGTTTTCCTTGTTGCTATGCATACGGGTCAAAGTGATGAACAAAAACAGACGATTACATTGAGGGTTGGCAGGCCCAAGGTCCTTTTCTAAATCAGTCATAGCTTATCCTCTCATTTGCTGCCACATCGCCTCTAACTTTCCCTTTCCATTTTTTACTTTTACTTTTCTTTCTTCATGAGAAGCATGGCACCGTCTTCAAAACAATAACCCCCTAAACCACCAACATTATTCATGCAAGAGAATGAGGTGGTAGTGATTGTCGCAGGAGGAGAGCAACAACATGTAAGTAGAAGGTGGAAAAAGAAAAGGAAGAGGATTTCAACATTCAATTTCACGAGGGGAAATGTCAGCAACATTGCACTAAAACAAAACAAGAGAATCAGCCCGAAATCATCTGATTCTGTGATAAATCCACTCCACTGAACAGACCTGTCTGACGAATTTTCTCAGAAAAAAACCAAATATGCTGCAACCAGAACAAGCACGCACGTTTGACACCTAACGCTTACAACCTACCCACCGAACCAAGTACCTGAATCTATGAAGTAATCAGACACCATATTATTAACTATTCAGAGAACTTCTGATGATTACATCTAAGCTAAGAAATGGAGACCATCTTTTCTCCCACTCATCAAGTTTTAAGATATGCAAGGAAAAATAAACTGGGAATGTAGAGACAGAATTCCATTTGCACCACTCTATAACTCGCCACATAGTGTAGTATTTAGCAGTTTTTTCACACAGAAACAGTTCTATTCCTCAAAACTAATTGGCAGATCACTTAATATCATTAAGAGAACCTTTGCTTCGCTTCAAAGACAGGCTTGCAATAGCCCATGAAACATTTTTCAGTGACAATCGTCTACCCTGAACAGAAAAAAAATCAGCATTGTTAGCTTAGAATTTTCAATCTCCACTATGCAATGGGAGAAATACGATAGTTAATATATCTTTGTTATTCATTTTTTTCCCGAATTTGTTTGTAAAAAGCAAGTGTACTTACCTTAGAGTGGGAAGCACCATTATCATCATCATCACTATCTTCATCATCCAAAGAGCCATCATTTGCAATGGCATCATAAAATTCCTCAACCTCTTGGTCGTCGACTTCAGAAGTAGGAGTAGAAGTATCAACATTATTTGAGCGAACAATTTCAAACGAAGAACCAAATGTTAATGCTGGATTAGCCCCAAAATATTCCTTTAATCCTGGATAAGAACAGGGAGAAGTCAGGCTTCGGTTAACCAAAAAGAAAAAAGGGCATTAAAAATCGTTAGCTTTTGATGTGTCAATATTACTCCATGGCCAAATCATTCAATGAAATAAAAAATTCCAGTAAAAACAGATAATTTATACTTTACGTCCGTGTGTCTCTCCTGCAGGAACCAGTGCACAAAACAGAAAAACAGCTTTTTTTGCAGATCCTAGGAAGTCTTCATTACAATTTCATTGCCCGATGTCACATCACAGTTACAATTGGTATATGCCTGTGACTTCTGATCTCTCTCCCTTTTCTTTTTTGTTCATTTTACAGTCTTCTGTTCACTCAAAAATTGAGCTATGAAATTTAGGTGGTAGAGATGAAAATTAGTAGATAAGAATTGTAAAAGAATGTACTCTGTATTGTAAAGAGATTATCTGAGTCGTCAATTTGTAGTTCGTTATAATTTAGTGGTATCATTAATCAGGTCTCATCCTCACTTCACTTGAGCACTGGTAAGTGTATCTGGTTCTGGGAATGTTCTCGGTGCACAAACTTGCTGCAAAGAGACATTTTTAAGAGGATCTAAGACTTAAGATAAAGGTAAAAATGTCTTTCACATAAAATCTCAGCCTAGTGTGAGAGATACACTTGATGAGAAATCGAGCACACAGAAAGATGATTTAATCAGTATTATGGGCGATCTTCCCAATTTTAACTCCATACAGTGGACAAAGAATATTGTGAAAAGAGGAAGCAAAAGGACGAATTTCAGTTCAATCTTTTGTAAAAATTATACTGGGGAAGTGGAGAGTGGAGTTCTACAAAGGAAAGCTTGGGCTACAAATGTACCGTTCCCCTTTAAGAAGAAGTACCACCACCAATGAAAAATACCACTTTGGTCCGACAAGGAACTTTTTTTCACATCTTTCTTCACTTTTATTTATAATATTGATGTATGATGCCAAAAAAAGAGTGATTCATTGGTCTTCCATTTTTCCACATCTCTTCATGTTTTCCTTTCGAAGAGGATATTCAATTTAGTACTTGTTGAAGATAAAATCAGGTCTGGTATGCTGAATAGTGACGTCAGAGCTTATGGAGAGAAAATATTCTCTTATTAGAAAGGAACACAAAATTACATTTCAAAGGGGTTGGAAATCACAGACCCAGAAAGTTCTAAAAACACCTAGTCACATAACTCAAAAGATACTATCGACACATCCCATCAATACTCCCTCTCAAACTGGCAAGTGGATGTCATTCATTCTCAGCTTATAGATAATCTTTTGTGGTTGTGTGTTTGAGATGCCTTTAGTAAGCATATCCACTAGTTGATTGTGTGTCGAGATGTATGACATACAAATCAAATTTGCCTTCAGTTTTTCTTTAATGAAATGATGATCAACCTCCATCTATTTGGTATGATCATGCTGTACAAGATTATGCACAATATTAATTACAAACTTATTGTCGCAATAGAGTTTCATGGGACCAGTAAGAGATATTTTTAACTCATTAAGTAATATTTCCCCCAAAGTAACTCACATACACCTTGGGCAAGTGCCCTGAATTCAACTTTAGGACTTAAATGAGCAATCACCTTCTGTATTGTACTCTTCCATATAGCACGGTTGCCTCCAATAAATGTGGGATGTCCAGATGTCAACCTTCAATCAGTCATTGACCCTACATAGTCAAGGTCTGTAAACATTTCAACTTCTAGCTTCCCACTTAATTTGAAGAGGGCTCATCTACCCACTATGCCTTTCAAGTAATGTAATACTAGATAGGCTACATGTAGATGACATTCTTTTGGTTGATATATAACTTGCCTTAATATACCCACTCTATACGAGATATCTGGTCGAGTGTGCATCATATAAAGTAACCGACTAATGAGACATTGATATATCTCACAATCAATAGAAGTTTCTTCCTCTGCTAGGCATAATTTGTGATTTGGATCAATATGTGTATTAACTAGTTGATACACAGATTTCCCTGTATCCTTGAACAAATCTATTATGTATTTGCATTGAGAGATAAAAGTACCTCTAGAAGAGTGAGCCACTTTGATCCCCAAAAAATATTTAAGCTATCCCAATGTTTTGATCAAATTTCTTAGACAAATAGTGGCTTATGTTATGTATTTCTATTCTATTATTTCTTGTGATGATGATATCATCAACATATATTAATAGAATCATTACTCCCTCTGGAGAAGAGTGTTTCAAAAATAAGGTATGGTCATCATTACCTTAGCAATAATTTAGTTTTTATTGCCTCTAAAATCATCTAAACCAGGCTCCAGGTGACTATTTGAGTTAATAGATAGACTTCTTTAGTTTACAAACAATATTTGATGAAAAGTCATATAAACTTTATCAACAAAATCGTCATGTAGGAAACTATTTTAATATCATATTTTTAATATTTTTATATGTTCCAACTGAAATTTTCTGTTAAAGATAACAAAAATCTGATCGTATTCATTTTTACCATAGGTGCAAAAGGTTTTCTGATAATCAATACCATAAGCTTGTGTATAGCTTTAGCCACCAGCCTAACTTTATGACTCTCAATTGAGCCATGTGATTTATTCTTCATAATGTACAGCCATTTTACAACCAGCCGCCGTCTTATCCTTTGGCAATTCCACCATATCCTATATTTGATTTTTTTCTAGGGCTCTCATTTCATCATTTATAGCTTGTTTCCACTCTGTCTTGGATAGAGTTTTTGAGACATTTTTAAAAATGTTAATGCTATCTAAGGAGGCTAGGAGGGACCGGTAATGTGGAGAGAGTCCATTACCCAATTATTATAAATATCTCTAGAAGGAGCTCTAATTCCAACATACTGGAACTTAGTAGGCTATATCAATGATTTTTGTGACACTGCTGACATCAATTTTTTCAATTCAAATCGAAGTCATTTTATCTCATCCATTTGAAGAGAAGAGGGATGCTGGGATTTTGATGATTCTGATGAAAAATTGGCAGTCTGATTAGCAAGGAGTTCTACTGTCAAATGTCCATGACTTCAATGTTTTTTAGTACTTAAATTTTGTGGTCAACCATCAAGTTTCCCTGTACAGGCTTCAGTTCGATGAAAGCAACATGCAACTTGGCATGGAATGAGTTGCCCACTCAATCTTTGGTAGCGGCCTCTTGGGGTTTGCATAACAGTTTATTATATAAAGTGGAATACGCTTCATAACAGCATAGAAAAAATGGTTTTTATTATGCAGACAAGGATGGTTGCTTCATAGATGTGATTTTTTCCATCTACTAAATGAATCACAGGAGATGAGAAATACCACATGAATGCGCTTCAGGACTTGATGCATTTTCATTCAATTACCACATGAAGTATAAACTTCAGCTTGATGAAAGAGCAGAATAATTACTAAGTGACGTGAAAATTTATGTACCTGCAACTTGGCACAGCATAGCAAAGGGAATTGTCCGTTCAAAATTTGAGTAGTGGCTTCTCTTCCACCTGTCCCAGAAACTGCAGTGTATCTCCAACATTCGTGTCACAAGACATTTTTGGTTATTAGATTGTGGTGTGCTTAGCCTTCTAATTTCCCATATGGAAGCTGCAGCACGGATGCACATTTCAGAAATTTGATCCTTAAACCTTACTCTTTAATAAAACCAGAAATGCCTAGGACAGAAAATTTTCCTCCGGCAAAAAAGGAGAATTAGAATACATATATTACTGGAGTTTGTCGTAATTAGCCTTTTAATCTCCCTTATTGAAGCCACAGGAAGAATAAACAATCGATAAATTTGCATGTACACTGCATAAGTATTGGATGACACATTCCCTGACCTATTTACTTTTTTTTTCTTCAGTAATAAAACACATTGAGAGAAAATGGAATTAAAAAGGGATATTCATTTATAATGACCATACGTGTTGGTAAAATCGATTTGTTTCAAAATGTGAAATTAGGAACGTGTTCAAGAAATGATAATCTCATTTAAAAGCGTAGCCTAGAGACTAAAGCCTTAGATGCACATATTTTAGGTATTCCTCGAAAAAAGACAAGTTACTCTTAGGACACTGGCTCGAGAGGTTTCCTCCATTTCTGTTCCTGTTGGCTGGAACAGTTCAGACTATAATGCATACTATCAGATGGGAAAAGATAATTCCTTGGTTATTTGGAAAACAACAACGCAAAATTTAATCATTTCCCGTCCAAAGCTGCTCACCCATAGTTATCAGCATAATCATTGATGATTAGCTATCCTAACATGAATTTTGAACAATCCCAAAATCCCGAAATGTATTAGCGTATCTACTAACAGAGAATATCCTAATTTCACCTGGGATAAAATGCAGTTCTATCTGTTATAGCCATGTTGAAACTTTCAAACAATGGACTATACAAACATGGGCCAGTACGAACATACAAGTGCGCCAGCATTAATGCGAGTAAACACAAGGAAGTGTACTCTCGATGCATGAATAAAAGCTTTTTTATTAGCTAAGCATATTATTTAACAAAGACAGTTGTTGACATTGCACCGACAAGCATATCCGTTTTCATGTCATTATAAAGTAATTTTACGATATAGATGGTAGCTATCAACAGTTAGATATCACATTATAAAATTTATATGAAATAAAATTAAAAAATTGATGGCTAACTTTTGTCCAAAATAAAGTGACTAAACTTTTCTTGAAGAAATGTATTCTACCATCAAGAAGATAAATGGCATGGGAACAAGACTGACACAGAATACTGTAAAAAGCACAGGGAATTAATAAGTTAATATACATGTAGAATGCTCGAAAATCTACCAGTCACAAAATGGGGACACTGTTGTTCCATCATCATAGATGAAGGATTACTGAATACTCCTAAAATGCGCAATTTTCTCGCATATATATATTTTTTAATGAGACAGTAACATTTTACAAGCAATGATCTTGCAGTTAGATCACATTCATTTCTATGGTCAGTAACTCCCCTCTTAGCCAGTAAATTTCTCCTAATATAAATATTCGTGGGTTCAACTCGTCAATGATGGTATTGCAAGGAAACCAATGTTCTTTACATCCTGGGAAAAAAACTCAACTGAATTACTTTGACTGCAAGGATCCTTTGTCTTAATGTAATGACTGTTTTCTTAAACCTTAAATGACATAAGGAAGAAATTTAAAGCAGGCAAATAGATATTTTACAGAAAATAGCTTCAACAGAAAATTTGGAGTCATCATTGGATTTCAACTGAAGAACTCCAACCAGTACTAACGACTGACTCTTTTATATCTCATTAATCTCCTTAAATGATGTACATATAGGAGAGACAAAAATGGGCACACTATGGTGGTTAACAAGAGCAGGTACTCCATTATACACTAATTACAGTTCCATACACTGAAATATAAGATGTGCTCCAAAGGAAAAAATGGCTGTCTTTTGAAGCTCGAAGATGAAGAAATAACATTTTTCTCATTAGACTAGTTATTTCTATCACAGTAACATTGCAACCCTAGTTAGCACACTGGATAGAAAACAAACATACAACAACGGTTAGAGGTTCCTTAGTTATCAAAGATTGTCCAGTTTCAGAAACATGGAATAAAAGAAAGCATCATACATACGATGAAAATCATTAATTAACCAAATAGAAATCATACAATTTATCTTAATCCTCTGATAAGAAGTTCTCGGAGGTTTCTTCTTGTGGATAGCAGGAGCCTGCAAAATAGCTGCAAAGAACCAATATATGAATAAGGGTAAACTTTAGAGAAAGAAATGAACAGGGTCATCCTCTGACAATTAACAGAAAACAATAGACAGTTGTTTCTTTGCAACAACCTTTTAAGGCGCAAGTTATCATGCAATTTACAATTTAACGAGACATTTTTTTCAAATGCAATTTCTAGATGGCGAATGATATCTAAAAGTAAAAACAACTCAAAGAGTACAAAAGATCACGAAAAAGCTGCAAAAAAGATGCAAGTTTCTAATGATACCATTAGTTAGTAGCTCCTACCTGTTGTTGAGAACTAATCTTTTGTACATTGGTGATTAAGTTATAAGGTGTATGAAGAATCACCAAAACCTATTCTCATTGAAGCTGTTACAAACCTCTCAAGATTTGGGGCGAAATCTTCACCCTAATCGTACCTTAGATGAGGCTCACTCAGGGAATCAGATCTCTGTGTATAGAAGAGCCAGATTGAACAATTGAAAATGAAATTGGAAAAACAATAGAGGTTTGCAGACAGTAGGGTGTGTTCCTGAGGTCAGATTGATCCTCAGGAACAGGAGAGCCCGAATCGGACCTCTCTAGGGACAGATCTCCCCCTCCACTCTCTGTTTTCTCCCCCCCCCCCCTCTTATTTCGGCCTCTTTTATATTTATAGGCCTTAGTACATTATTCTGTTGTGGTCCCCCCTCCACGTGGGGGTCTAGGTCGTCTTGTGTAGACAACGGTTGGCTTCGTAACATTACTCCCCCCATGAGTTTCACCTTGTCCACAAGGTGAGATGTAGGAAATTGTCACAGGAATGCTGATACTGTCATCCATGACGATTCAAACTCTGGAAGATGTTTCCATGAAACTAAAATCTCTGTGACTTGAGGAGCCGACCTGTGAGCTTTTATGCCATCTGGAATGAGTATCCATTCTTGTTCTTCTGATAGTGTCAGGGGAATTGGTTGGCTTCTATTGTCTGTTCTTAGTGTCTTCCTAAGCTGGGATATACGGAACCCCGGATGAACAGCTGAATGGTCGGGCAATTGGAGTTTATATGCCACTGGTCCAATTCTTTCCATAATAGGATACGGACCAAAATAGCGAGGGTTTAACTTCTCGTTTTCCTTTTTTGCCAGAGATTTCATCATGTATGGTTTGATCTTGAGACAGACCAAATCACCCACCTCTAATTCCACTTCTCAACGATGCTTATCTGTATTAAATTTCATCCTCACTTGTGCCTTGTGCAGGTTGAATTTCAAAATCTTAAGAATAGCATCTCGTTCCGTGAGTAGTTGATCGATGGCGTTAAGTGGTGAAGGGGATGTTCCATATTTGATAAGTTTCAGCAGGTCCCTGCCATATACTGCTCGAAAAGGAGTCATTTTAGTGGAAGAATGATATGAAGTATTGTAACTATATTCTGCCCAATGAAGCCATAATTTTCATTGCTTTGATTTATCAAATACCACACATCTCAAGTAATTTTCTAAGCACCTCTTGACGACTTCAGTTTGTCCATCTGTTTGAGGGTGGTAAGAGGAGCTGAATTTGAGTTCAATTCCCTGTAGTATGTGTAGTTCACACCAAAATGTCCTTAAAAAAAGACTAGGATGTCTGCTCTGATACCAATGTTACGAACCTCTCAAGATTTGGGGCAAAATCTTCACCCTAATCTCACGTTAGACAAGGCTCACTCAGGGAATCAGATCTCTATGTATAGAAGAACCAGATTGAACAATTAAAATGGAAATTAGAAAAGCAATAGAGGTTCGCAGACTGTAGGGTGAGTTCCTGAGGTCAGATTGATCCTCAGGAACAGGAGAGCCCGAATCGGGCCTCTCCAAGGACATCGAACGAATTTTCTTTTGCTACTCTCCTCTCTCAAAAGGGGTAAAAACATCTTAATCCCAAAATAAGGAAGGAAAATGACATCCAAGGCAATACATGGTTGAGCCTGACTCATGTTTCCTAGCTTCACAGAGTTCTCTGTGGGAAAGACTTTGAGGCGCGCGCGCGCGAGAGAGAGAGAGAGAGAGAGAGAGAGAGAGAGAGAGAGAGAGAGAGAGAGAATGGCGTCCTCTGCCTTCCCATTCTCTTGCCAGAAGATAAAACAACGAACTTAATAAGGTATAAGGGTAGTTCCTACCGATAACTCACAAGAAAATAGTCTTTAAGCCACTGAATTCAAGTTAAGCAACCTCATATTCTTGAACCTTTCACTATCGATAATCTCAATCATCTTATTATACTTGGAAAGAAAACTAAATCACATAGTAAGCATCTTATATCCAAACATCACTACCATGATCGAATCTTATCTTCATATTACTCATGTATTTCCACTTCACCCTCTTCTTCCATCCCCACTTTTCTTGCAGATGTAATGAAAGTCCTAAAGAGTATGAAATTTTGGAGCTAAAAAAAACAACTTACTAAGTTTAAAGTGAGACTTCACAATTAAATTTTAGGTAGATGATACTATTAATAAATTTAATGCAAGACTAATTGTGAAAATATTTACATACACATTAGCATTGATTATTATGAGACTCTTACAACAATTATGAAAAAAAGAAGAAGATTTTTTCCCTTGTTATTCAACAAGAGTTGCACATACAGTAGTAATTTTCTTAGTCTGGATTTAAGGAAAAGATGCTTACTATAACCTCCTCCATCTTGCTCACGGAACCATTGTCTAGAGAAAACAAAATCTGTTTTAGATTGCCACCTGAAAATACGGAAACATAGAAATCTCTTTGATCAATAAATTATCAAAGAGTTATTGCAAAGATCCTAATTTCTTTAACCCAGTTCTATGTTGAAATAGACCAAAAATATCACCATTGACAAATAAATGAAAGCCTTATGACATTAATCTAATTATAAGTGATGATCGTATCTACATTTTTTGGTGATAGGCTACCATGGAGAAAGATGGTAAGAAATAAAAAATATATACTTTTTGCTCATACTAGTATGAATACTGATAAGGCTTCATGCACATATGCTAGAAGGACGAAGGCCCAAAGCCTAATAAGTCATTAACGGTTAGCATGATTGAGGGAAGGCACAGTTATGGCAAGGAATAATATGACAAGGAACAATTATAGCAAAGAGCGGTTATGGCAAGAGTAGTTATGGCAGGAGACTAATTGCCTAAATAAGAGAGGGAAAGGAGAAGATATAAGGATGGGCGGAGTAGGAAGGAAGGGGGGAGCAAAGGAAAACCGGTGTTATATCTCGTGAATCTACAAGAAAGGGTTAGAAGGTTGTATGCAACCCTCCATCTGTTTTGGATTCTTTTACTGTGCTTTATCTTTGGAATTTCTGTTCTAGAGATTGTTTCTTTCATCTAATACGAATTATCCGTAGTTCTTTGATCTGGGTTCTTATCAAATACACTGCAATCAGAGTGATAAACATTAAGGTACACCCATATGACTCATCAACACTATCATAAATGACATTAAAGTCGCTAAAATTTGATGCTTAAAGATGAGCATTTATTTTATAAGTACGTAAGCAAAAAAATGGTCAATCATCTTCTTTGTACTTGTTAATGTATAGTAGACAAGTGTTCAAGCCATTGGAGTGAGAAGAGGATTAGGAAAACTTATAAAGTTCCAAAGATGAAAAGATTTAAAAATTAAATCCGCCATAAAACAAGTTTAGATGGCAAAACTTAAAATGCCATAATTGAGGATACCCATTATCCGCTAGAATAAGAATTTTAGTGTTTCAAAACTAAGACTTGAAAGTAGCTTTTTGTTCAGGGGGTTTATTATTTTGCAGAAACAATGATTTCCTTAATCTGTTACCCCTTGGATCCAATGATTGGCCAATGTAGTCATAATCTGGACCGGATTAGGCTTGGCCATTGCGGCTGTCAAACCAGTTTCAGATACCATGGTGCAATTAAAAGTAATAAGATGGGCCAAGCAACCAAAGTGTTGTTTGTCGCACAAACGCCTTTAACCATGCATGAATTCGATTTGGGAACATTCCTTCACTCATGCAATGCTGCAGATGGCTCAAATCATTCCAGGATAGAAGTGGATCATGGACGCTAATGCAGATGATGGGACAGGAGAGGGGTATCTTCATGTAAGCAGAGACGATGGTGGGACGGGAGAGGGAAGGAGCTACAAGAGGCCAAAGGTCTACAAGGAGTATTAGGAGATGCAGAGGACATGGGAGAGATCCAGGGCCAAGGAAGTTAAGCAGTGCTTTAAGCTTATGAAGGAATGAATAGGAATAAATAAAGGAAGAAGCAAAAAGATTGGATTCCCCATCAATGGGGTCCACAAGTGTATCCAAGTTCGTTGTTTCAGGGACATCAAGAAAAGTTGGGTACCTCAATGAGGGCAGGGACGGCAAGAGGAGGATAACAATGTAGGAAGAGAGTGAAAATTTGAAAATAAAGAACATTGGATGGGTGAAGCACGAAGAAAAAATACAAAATTGGTGGTGCAACGAAGACCACCACATGAAACAATAAGGGCCTTTGTGGAATGGAGAAGAGAAAAGGTTGATGCCTTTTTACAGACAAGAGACATAAAGTAAGGACAGGTAGAGGATATTGGGGGATAATGACCAATCAAATGCCTTGCTTCAGCTGAGAAAGAAATGTGAGAAAGATTTGTGAATCTAGAATGAGTTTCTGGTGAAGAATCTGACAAGTGGAAGGCATACTGTTTCTCTCGCTTTACGTAACTTGATGGCAGGTCTGTATGGGCCTTTAGTAATTGAAATTTTAGACTTGATGGCGAGAGGACTTCATACATTTCATTTCCAAGGCAGACTTTTATCAATATAAAGGCATGCACTCATAGCACGACTTGTCCAATTTCGTTGACCAATTTTTTATTGTAATTTCTCAAGGACCTCTCACATGAAATTACAAAAAAATGAATTTTGAGGACAACTGATATGCAGTAATGAGGGAAAAGTTATCTGGTATAAACAAGCGCAAACAACTGCATAATTCAATCCTTTTAGACCATAATACATCAGAAGTATTATAAGCAAAAATTCATAATGAAATTTACCAACTTAAGTGATTGGGTTCATATGTTCCATAGACAACATCATAGTGCCCATCTACTGAATCAACCAACTCCAGGTCACCAGTAATCATATCCCACCTGCAAAGATTATTTTTAAGTATAAATGAAAAGGGATATTCAGCCTAAAAGAACCGGTGCCAACTTACTCAGATCTCTTGTGCTTCTCAACACTAAGAACTGCTTCAAAGACTGAATCGACATTTGCATTAATAACACCAACAGACTTCACGATGAAGCTTTTGCTAGCCTACAACAAAGTATGGAGGAAGAACATTTTAGCACATCATTTACCACCTCTTAAATGAAGGTATTCTCACAGAAATCCAATTATTGGGCAAATGATACAGCCACCCATTACTAGTATATTTGTGCATCTTATCAAAGAGCTGCGTGGATCATCTGGTCGTAAGTTAAAAAATGCTACAAGCACTTTAAACAGAAGTAAGAAAATGAACAAAACTTGCAAACTTATAAGGGTGAGGTGGCATACATGCATATCATAAGGCCAGTTATTTGTTTGAGCAACAATTTTCAATAAAATCTAGTGTTCAACATATGTAACATGAAAGCACCTTTGGGTTGGCCACGTCCTCAAATATTCGAATGCCTGAAAATTCAGAAATAAGAGGAAAACAAAGATGTCAGTAACTGTAACGGCAAATAAGTGGAAGGCAAAGGACAAACCATATCCTAATTGTTAAGATTGTGCAAAATTTTCCAATAAATATTCTTGTTAAGGGCTTTATGTTGCAAAATCTTATGATAATCCAGCATGTTCCGTAACCAGGCAGTAGGAATCTTAGATCTGATGACGATAGAATCTGGTTTATAAGTAAAATGATACTCGGAGCAAGGCAAAGAGTGATATATGTCTTTGTTGACTATTGCTAATTTTTTCCACAGAAAGAGACATTTCCTAAAATAGGATCAATGCCCAATGAAAGGTCATCGGAACAGACAGAGAATTCTAGTCAACACGTGAAAAAAATGATAATAACTCAAGCCTTGCCAGAGAACCCAAGCGAATTTTTTTTTATAATGAATCCTAACATTAAAGTATAATAAATAATTAACATACTGAGAAAAAGGGTACCGTTGATAGTTCGAACACATTTCCAATCATGAGCCTCAATTGCATCTCCAACATTTCCTTCATAGTAAGCCTGAGTCCTAGAATTGCTTCCTAAATCTGAAGATTTGCGGAGCAACATCTCTGGGCCTGAGAGACACATAAAGTAAGCATCTACTCCACATTTAGTAGTAAAGCAGTACTGATAATAACTGGATACTTTATACAATAAATCTGAGGACACAGAAAAAGTCAGCTCTTTGCCATCAGTAAATAGGGATAAATTATTTTATTTTTTCTTAGACCTTTCCTGAGGCCAATAATTCAGAAAATGACAGAGAGATCATAAAAGAGCAATGCCACTCACCTCTACCAATTCTTATAAATTTCTTTATTCCATGAGCGTACCGCCTTACACGTGGTCGGTGACCTTCAAGGTTAAGCCTGAACCCAAAAGGAAGGCCATCAGGATGAAGGTAGCTTTTGACTAATCAAAGAAAAGGAAAACCTATAGAGAAGACACTAATTCATGTGAGTTAGTAATATCAAGCTTACTCATTATCATTAGTCAATACATGTTTAGAGCCCCCTTTAGAGATGTCATACACAGCCTGTGGGGGAAAAAATACAAATCTTCTTCGTAAAATTTTACAAAAGAGGAAACAATACACAAAGTATTCAACAGGAAAATAGCTTGATTATTATGAGCATATAAAAAATAAAGGAACTTTCTCCAGATAATCTACATTGTGCCTGCCTTGATGGAATTAACTTCATAATTGGCATTGAAAGATTTTCTATTCGGTGAATTTAAGGATTTTCAAGGTGTGATGTATCCTTTTGACAGACATCCTTTTGGCTTTCCTTCACAACACTATTTTTTCGGTCTTTAAATACATCAAGAGATGATAATGACAGGATAATGAAACCATATAAGATTATCAGCAGTATTGCCCACAGTATTTATCCAAGATCATATATAAAGGCTTTCCATACCTGTTGTTTTGCCTGATCAAATACCTCCATCCATTTCCCCATTTCTCCAGCCGATGCAAAAGCAATCTAGCACAATTACAATACACAAGTCAAAGCCTTTGGCAGTGAAACCAAGATGAAACGAGGTAAAGTGATACATTATAAAGGGAATAACGTGTGCGTGCATCAGTTATCATGTGTGCGCCAGTAATTATCATGAAGTCCGGAAAGCTATATAAGGCGAGTGACAGGACTCATCTGCCAGTCAGGTTTTGGAGCATTTATCATTTTAATCCATAACTCTCATCTGCCTGACTGACCACAGTTTGAAACACATCTCACTCAAATTTTTATCAAAGCTGTGATGAGTACAGTTTAGAGTGTGTCACATCTTCTTCTTCTATTCTTATCCAGATGAAATGTTATTTGCCAACACATTAACAAATCCATACACTGGTTTGTCCCTCTTCTACCTCTCCTGTCCCAGGTTACCACTACCATTTGTGATATCATCAGCAATATGCAACAACTAGTTGATGACACAAAAACCATAATTATAGATCAGTACCAGCTCTCTCCTCACTGTATCGTTCATATAAGCCAAATCTTCATTCTACCCATGGTGGTGGATAAAGGTGTTAGTCATTTTAGTTTGTCACGTGTACTGATTTTCTGCATCGTCCCATAAGCAACATAATTGCATGTTGCCAGTTCTGCTCTATACATCAAGTAGCCATAATTTAAGTGATGAACTCAGGTTTGAGCTGTACTAGATACTGGCCAAATGGTCTCATACTAAATGAGATAGCTAACTAATGTGATTAGAAATATCGGTCTCTTTCTCTCGTTGTCAATTGGTTTTTATCCGATTCCTTCACATTGTTTTCATATTCTTGGCTGCACTTCTTATCTTCAGTCCTTGAATGAGAGAGTGTAAGAGCATCATCATGCATGAGAGGGGACATGTCATAATAGTCTCCAATTGAATAAGATAAGTGGCTCGTGGTTACATACATGGTATCTTTTCATGTGAGCTTATTGTTGTTTCCTTCTTCTGGGCATACTAATGCAGAATTCCGTCAAGAAGAGCTGGCCTTAAGGTCATTTACTTCACTAAGGTGAATGCCTGTATTCTAGAGGAACCGAACTGTCTCTTGTTGCCACAGCCTCCGCCACAGTAACAACTGATAATGTGAATGCATGAGTATCAAGGAAATTTTAACATAGCCTTAATCTGCCAGACTATCAAAACGTAAGGACGTAGACAAAGTGATTAATTAGTATGTAGCATCATTCATTGACTTTCATATTTGCCTAGCTACCCAAATTTGGCAATTGGTCAGAACTTGATTTAGGGGTTGACTTCCAGACCCTAGGCTGAAATCAGATTGATGGGGATAAGCCAATAAAATCAAGAAGAATCAAGGTATGAATAAAAATATGAGTTACCTCTCCTTTCTTCGTCTCATCCAACCGGTTGTAAAATCTCAGAACATAGAAATCCTAGGAAAAACAAATTCTCAACTATTAGAAAATTCAAAATACTTTGCTGGATATTCATCAAGTAGAGGAATATAACCATCCGGTCATTTTTTATGATATTACCCCATTGTCGATTTTTTTGCGTCCCAGATCCTCCACCATAAGTGTATGACTAATGACACCCTTCCTGATAGGCTTCTGCAAAAAATAAATGTACGATAAATTTATCAGCGGGAGAATATGTCAGCCAAGGTAGCAAGCCGGGATTCAAATTTCAATATGAAAAAGATTAATAAGGTAAAATCAGTAAGAAATATGATGAAAATATTTGAGTTGAGGACTATCAAAACATAGAACTCAATATGGAATGGAAGCCAAAACGTGATTCAGACACAAGAATCATGTAATAACTTATTCTTACAAGACCTCAACAACAAAATTACGTATATTGCCAATAATATTTTCAATTTGGAGGCGTTTTCTAACAATGGATATGTATAAACCTTGAAGATCTCGTGCACGGCAGAATAGATACGAAGACAATGCTACTAAATGGTGGAAGGATAGCATTAACCTATCCTTACAGCACAAAAAGGCAGAATAAATAGTGGAAAAAAAAAAACACTGGAATGAAAATAAATTAAGATCCTCACTCAAATTTCCTCACTACTCGTAAGAAAATCTCCAAAATCGCACATATCAGAATCTACTATAAAATCCGAACGGATAACACAGCGTAAATAGACATTAGTTTCTTTAAATAAAATTAAACCATAAAAAGGAATTTCAAAGATGACCAACAAAAGACATGATGATTGGCTTGTAGAATTTGATTAAATTATTGAGAATTAAGTATGTCTCCATGGCGAATGATCTTGCTATTAGTTATTCATAAGCCTAAGTAAATACCTAAACTGTACATGTCAAATTTCCTCCGTGACTCATTTGCTAAATTTAAGTTCCTGGAGGTGGCACGATACTTTTGTTCCCTAAACTTTACGAGCATTAAAAGTCAGCCATCAATACCCACGAAGATTTTAGGCACTATATCAGAAACTATTTTAATTGAAAAAAGCAATGTTGGGTCCGAGAAACTTCGGACAAAGGATAGGAGAACGAACAATGCTGCGGTCATTTTGGGGGTCTCTCTTGTACATGGCGATGTATTTGCCCTTGAGCGTCAGATAGCGGAGGTGGCAGTACTCGTGGCCGATGGAATTGACGCCCAAGTGGTACACCCACCCGGAGTAGTTCAAAATGCTACCGCCGCGCGATGAGCCATTCTCCGACCCTTCTCGCTCCTCCCCCTCCGAAATCGCGATTGACTTATCTGACATTCCTCCTCCTTTCCTGCCGACTGCCTTGGAGGAGGAGGAGATGATGGTGGCGGAAACAGAGGAGAGATTCTCCCCCAATTCTTCCGCTGCTCCTTCCAAATCCCACTCCCCCAACCAAACCCCGACGTTAGATCGAAGGCAACAATGGACTGAAAGCTGGGTCTTTGCACCAATTAAGAACAGACCTGCCGCGTTTTCTTTTTATTTAATTTTCTTCTCTTTTATTCTCTTTTCTTCTCTTTTCTTCTCCTTTCTTTTCAACGAGAGAAAGAGAACGGCGCTGCCACTGACCGTTAGGAATCGTACTATGTGAGCCCCCATAATATTTTATTACATAAAATACCTCTTTGAAGACCCATATCCACAAGTTTCTTCTTATAGAGGGTCAAATCCGTCAATAAATATTTTCCGGTATGATTTTCCATTAAATTCGCAGTTCGAGTTCCGGGTCCACATCGCGACAAGGTTCTTCTAACACAGTCGAATCCGTCAGTAAATATCTTACAAAAAACCCCTCTACACATTTTAAATTCGCAGATCTAATATCGCGTCCACAGCGCGGAGAAGTGGGCCCGGGAGACCGTTGACCAACGGACGTGCCCCCGAGGACGAAGGAAATTGCGCGTGGACGTTGAACGGAAGGTAAAGTATTCAACCTTGGCGACGGCCTGTCGGCAAAGGCCCCAGAATGTCCCAGAATCAAATTAAACAGCCACACGCGTATACAGAAATTGCACAACTATCCTTGGGTTTATCTGAAATTTCTTTCGAGCAATCCCCACACTGATGATGCCCAATTGAAAGCCCATTAAATCCACGGGCCCATACAGCGACCACATCGTACCAGCTCGGCTCCGCAATAGGCGTCTTATAATAAAAGCATATAAATATAGCATTAAAAAATTAAAAAAAATGCAATTAAAACTATTTTAATAAGCACTAGTCCTGTGCGATGCGTATTAACAGCGGTGGCGGCTCATCTTCTTCTTCCTCCTCGTTCTCCGTCGTTGTGATCACTGCTGCATCTTCTGGGTGCCCTGAGATCAAATATTTTAAACAGCAATATAAAGGGGAAATCTTTGAAACCTGGGCACTGGTCAGTGATGAATTACAGACATCCGATTCAATTCCATGTCAATGGCTCTCAGTTAGATCAAGGAAGATGGGAGCTTTATAATCTGTACAGCCAAATCTCGAGGTGAAAAATGGAGTAGCATATAAATAGCTGTATACATCATATGGAAGCACATAGCCAGGGAAGCATCGGAGGACCCAATGAGGTAGGTGGTGGGCTTGGGAGCTTGAACCTGCGCCTGATCAGTCGGGTCTTGCCATCGGGGACTGGGTTTGCATCATAGTTTTGCTGCTCGCTGATGATCAGTGGCTGGAAAGCTTGTTCTTTGAACTAGGTGAGGTGTCCAGGATCCTCAGAGCCCCTCCGAGTTCAATGGGCACAAGGGGGATCAGGGAGTGGAGGACGTCGGTGATCAATGGTCTGTAGCTTGGCTCTGGTTGGATGCAGAGCACAGCAACGGCAGCCACCTTCAATGGGATTGAACACGCAGTTAATGAGAGGAAGAGATTGTCGATCAAGAAATTTATGCCACAGCGGAAGATGTACTTGGTATAAGTGCTTCAGATCCATTGTGTTTCTGATGACTGGGTCTACAATGTTAGGAAGCTTTGATCTATCAGTCAGTTGAGGCATGGCCTGGATATCCAAAACTGAATGGGTAAATGCCGAACAAGCATTAAAAGAGGATCAGACGAAACTGAATTGAATGCGTACCCATGTGACTATAGATTGGCACTGAGAAGGTGTTATTTTCTCCACAGGTTTCCTCCCCATGAGGAGCTCCAATAAGACGACTCCAAAGGCATATACATCACTTTTCTCAGTAAGCTTACCTGAAGAAATTAATCCCAAGAACAAATATAGTAAAGTGCCTAGTCAATGAAACTCGATAATTTATTCAAAATATGTGTAAATATGTGTGGACGAGCAGACCATCGAGTAGGTACTCTGGTGCTACATATCCCAAGGTCCCTGAGAGTTTAACACTTCCTTTGCTTTGTCCAGTCACTGCAAGCCCGAAATCTGAGATCTGCATGCAGTGAGAAACTAGTCATAAGCAAAGAAAGAAATGGGATATTGATTTGGAAACGGAAGAGAGAATAAAGTTGTTGAGACATCAGTAATCTTGCTTACCTTTGCATTGAATTCGGAATCCAAAAGGATATTAGATGATTTGAGATCTCTGTGAATGACCGGTGGGTTACAGTGCTCGTGAAGATACTCTAGTCCTCTGTTTATTTGCCAAAAAAGAAGAAAAAAAAAAGGAAAGCTATATTAGGTGGAAATAATAATTAAATTTTACTCAGCTGACGATATAAGACGCAGTGATAAGGCCCCCTCACCTAGCAGCATCAAGAGCGATTTTCATGCGAATATGCCATGTTAAAGCCGACCCATTCGAAGGTCCTATGAAGAAAACATAAAAGACGAGCATAGTTAAGTTCTTGCTTTATTCTTCTTGAACTGGATATAGTTTCTCTTAGCTACATGGAGGTTATGGAGAAGAATACCATGCAATTGGCTCTCGAGAGATCCATTTTGCATTAACTCGTAGACTAGAAACCTTGTTTGCCCATCATTTGAGTAACCCAAAAGAGAAACTATGTTTGGATGACGGATTCTACACAGCAAGTCCATCTCATTCTGTGGTTCCAGTTAACAAGAAATGAAAAAATGCATACGTATCAGAATATGGTAACGTAAACTGTGAGTATTGATGATAATTAGACGATGGATTTCAAAGCACACCTCAAATTCTCTTTCAAAATCCTCCCCACCGTTCTCCATCTTCTTTACAGCAACAAGAACGCCATCATCCATGCATGCTTTGTAGACACGCCCAAAGCCACCTTCCCCCAGCACATTACTCTCACTGAAATTATTCGTTGCAGCTTCAAGCAATGCATGGTCGATAGCACATACAGATCCTTTCTTGACTGTCTTCATGGAATTAAATTTTCCCAAGATTGGGCCGAAAGTGGAAACTTTTGCACCATCTACGTTCAAGAAAATTAAAAAGTGAAGAGAAGAAATAAGAAACGGGATCCTAATGTTGTTATCATTTTTTAAAACAATTCCGACTGAGAGAACAAAGATTAATAAAGAGGTACCACTGTTCTGTGCTCCGTTCGAATCAGGTCTCAAATGGTTATTCCTTCGGTAAAACCAAATACCAAATAGTCCCAGTATGATCGCAACAAGAGCAACCGAAGCCAAAATGATTGCCAGAATAAGTTCAGTGTCTAAATGGCGACCATGCTTTTCAGTAGTCACGGCAACTCCTGCACCCGCCAGATCATGAGTTATGTCTAATGACCATGGCGCCACAAGCAAGAACACATGAAAATTCTAGCTCAGAAACACCGTCGGGGAAAAAAATCCCCATTCTTCAGCAGGTAGATATGTATTTATCCCGAATAAACGCATAAAATATTGGAATACAGGAAATATGAAATTTATCCGACCTTCAAACGAACAATATCGAAACATTCACCAACAAAAGAACCATAAACAGTATCCCATTCTTCTTTCTTTAATGACATGGTTGTATTGGCAGACCGAAATTCCCTTCGAAGAGCAGAAACAAAATAGATTCTTCAACAGTAACATGGTTGTGTTCCGGTGAAGTCTAGAGAAGCGAAATCGGAAGATAAATTACCGAGAGAGTAAAAACCAATGAACGGAACGGAAATCTTTAACAGTAAGGAAGTTTGAAAAGTTTCTCGCAAAATTTGAACTGTAGTTGTCGAGTAAAAACAGATTTTGAGAGAGCGATCTAGAATTTCAAACCCACAAAAACAAAAAACAAAATACTCACAAAGGAGCCACACTCTCGAACTAAAATGAGAAGGTAAACATAGAAACCCAACAAACACCTGAGCGGACAGACGCTGATTCCCAAGGGTACCTGAAGAAGACGGTGCCACCGTTCCGGAAGAAGGTCGAGGAACAGGCCACATTAGAGGAGCGAGAGCGGGACCAGCAGCAGGAGAATACAGCGGCGCATATCTGGCGAGGACCGAATCAGAGAACAGCAAGCACGAGGAGCAAAGAAGTACACAGACAGAGAGTAGCGGATTCATGGCTTTTCAGAAGAAAAACCGATGGGTATGAATCTACAAGACAAGGAAAACGGTGTGGGGGCAGAAAGATGGGCAAAGTCAGGACAGATCCAAAATGCCGACGCAATCAACCCCAGCGTCTGGATCTCCTTCGCCGTGCAACACTCTCCCTCACTCCCCACCCCAACCCCCGCCCCCCACGCCGCCCTTTTGAATTGGATCCTCCGAGTTTCCCGTCTCAACCACCTCCTTTTCTCTCTCTTTCTCTATCTTTCTCTATCTACTCTCTCTCTCTCTCTCTCTCTCTCTCTCTCTCTCTCTCCTGCTCAGTCTGGACCAGACAAGGACAGTTGCACGACCAACAGCGAGAACCTTTATCCTCGCCTGTATCTGAGGGGGAGCGAAGAGCGGCGTCCCCGGGCAGATAGATGAAAATGGGTGATCCATCAATCATCAGGCCGTTTGAATTAGAGCAAACGAGGGGAAGAGGAAACGACTATAATACCCCGGAGATACCGTTACGATGCAAGGACATTATGGACCATTTCCATCCTTTGACATTAAGGTGGCGCGGTCTCGAACGTGGGCGTCGTGGCCGAGACGCGCACGACATGAAACTCCCGCCGCGCCAGCGGCAGCCACGATCCCGCACGACGCCCGACAACATAATTTCGATAAAGTCCTCGTAAATAATCACATGTCAAGGCTACGTCCGCTGAGACTGCACAAAACCCCTCGAGAAATTCAGGATTCGTGCGATAGGTACACTTCATAATTGTGCTATAGTCCTCCGTAAAATTCAAGATGTTCTCCTCCCCCCCCGGTTGTGGTTAATCACGCCTTAATTACGGCCACAAACCCGGTCTTACAAAAGTCGAGCAGGTGCTTTAAGACTCAGCTATCCGAGGTGGACTTTTGAGTGGGACCCACGGCGGCATCGGAACAGGTGGGATGGGCCCCACTCAGTGCTTTGTCCCTTCTGACCGGACTCTGGCTTTGCTGTTTCTAGCGGCTTGGGCCCCGATTCGAGCAAAAATCGGATCTAAATCGGATTAAAATAATATTTGAAAATATTACTGAGGGAAAAAATGAAAACAAATAAAATACTAGCAATGAGATAGGTGACATGCTAAAACTATATTATATTCCTGTATCTCGCACCCAATTAATATGAGCTGACCAAAAAGGCTGGCCCATGGAGGCCCACATGTCGAGAGGGAAGGGGTGGCTTTCTGGGCCGGATCATATAATGGTGGCCTAATATAATTATGAGACCCCGAAAAATGGGTCAAGGCCCATAATGACCCTCTGCCCCAGAGGCGGTTCCGACGTCCACGTGGCCTGGGGAGGGCCTTCTTTTTCTCCCTATTAGAGAGGGGAGTGTTCCTGCCCTCTCTCACTCCAATTGGAAACCCTAGCTGCTCTCCTTCTTCGTCTCCTCCTGCCCCCATTTGCAGGCCACCTACCGGCCTCTGCCTCTCTTCCCCGATCGAAGGCGAGAGGAACCTCGGTGCTGCGGCTTCCGCTTCCTCCACCAGTACTCTGTGTTCTGCTCATGGGTACCAAGGTGATTCGAGCCCAGGACCGCCCCAGGAGTCGTCCTCCGGTGGATTCCCTTCGGTCGCCTCCATCGGGGAAAACCGGCAGGAACGACAATTCAACGCTCCATCGCCGGAGTTCTCCCCGCTCGAACAAGCTCCCCTGCCCGTCTCCTCCTCCCCCGACGAAACACTTCCGCAACAGCGACAAGAATAACCGGAGGGATCATGTCGCACTGGCTCGATTGGAGCGTCAGACGGTGGAGAAGTCGACTGTCAAGAAGATCGTCATGGAGAACGTGGTCATATTGAAGCGCGGGACCGTGTTGAAGAATCCGCCGTCGGTAGAGGACTGTAAGCCGTCCTCTCCGGCAGAGAAGACGCCGCCGATCGGTGGTCGTGCGCCGGGTCGCTCCACGGATCGGCAAGGTTCGGGGTCTGAGATTCCGCAAAAGCATGCCCCCGTCGTCAATCGGAAGCCCCCTCTCTACGCGGGTTCCGGTTTCGTCACATCTCCGGCCCCGAGTTCTCTCCCTCTTCCGACGTCTTTCTTTGTGGAGAAGGAAGTTGCCAGCAGTGTAGATCTGGCCACAAAAAGTATCCGGTTTCTGCTCCGCCTCGATCTGGCTTGACACGCTCCTCTCATCCATCCAAGTCCCCAGTTCGCTTCCATCTGACGTGGGGGAAGCGGGGGGGCTGACCGGCTACCCCGTCCGCAGCAAACAACCTTCGGACAGACGATCTGATGTCTTCGATCTTTACATCATGTAGTTACCTCCATCTCCATCTCCATCTGCCCGAATCTCTCTCTGTTTTTTATTAGAGAAGATCGGCAAACCGGAGGCTGATTCCAGATCGAACAGTGAGAAGATCTGGATCTTCCCTCCCATCTGTACTAGTCCCAGATCTGCTGTCGTGTGTACAGCAGTCCGATGCATCCCTGTATCTTCAAGTATCGCCGCATCATGACTTCCCCGAAACATCAAGCTGTAGCTGTTCTCTTTCTGGTCTCCGTGAGTGGTGTCGACAGATGATGCCCGACACCCGTCGTCCAGTGTTGTCTGTACTTCGTGCTGTAACAAAGACATGTGCCTGATGATATGAATAGGAATTCCATGCTCTAAATAATCTCTTCTGCTTCACTGATGCAACTGTTTCTCGTGGATGATCTCTCTTCTTCGGCAGCAAGCACATCTACGAAGGCACAGAACAAGAAAAAATCGTGATCTCTTCCAGATTCCTACTGGTTGAACAGCCGGCATGCAGTGAGGCTTGATCCTACATAGACTCCACCAGGGTATCTGCTGTTTTCTCCGTGCTCGTTTTCTGTTTCTAGAATGATCGTCTCAGGAGGTTCTTTCTGGAAAAGGGTGGACAGAACAACACTAAGCGGGTGGGAAAGAGACCAACTTCAGGTCTAGCGAGAGAGAGAGAGAGAGAGAGAGAGAGAGAGGGGTCGGTTCAAAAGGACGCTTTGGTAGATAAGATGGAGCTGGTGCGAAGAGTTGAAACTGGGGAGGGGTAGGAGAGAGGGATTGCTGCCGGACGGGTGGCGGGGAGAAGGGAGAGAAGCGGCGAACTCTCTGGCGAAGAGGTAGAGTAGGGATGGGAGATGGGTCTACAGAGAGAGAGAGAGAGAGAGAGTACCACGCGGGGTGGCGAAGTAGTAATACGACAATGGAGAACAGCTAGCGGGGGATTCACGGAGGGGCCACGCGTATGCCGCAGATTTCGACGCCTCCGCCCTTCTTCGGCTTCTTTCCGCGCCTATTTATCCCCTTCTTCATCCTCCTCACAGCGTGTTCATCAGGTTCGCCTATTTTACTGACTTGTTGGATTTCTGTTGTTTGTCGCCGGTGGAGGCGGCGACGGCGGCGACCGGAGGGCCGGGCAAGGCAACGGCTCCGGTACGAGGATGGATGCTACCGGCTCCGCCGAGTGGAGGGCGGGAGTCCAGCCGGACGCCCGGCTGCGGATCGTCAACAAGATGTAAGGCCTGAGCTCTTGGCTGTCTGGGATCAGCCAGAGACGATGGAGGATGCAGAGATTTCTTCCAAGTTTTTAGAGTCGCCTATGCAGGAAAGTGTCACGGCGTAGATCACTGCTCGTGGTTTTTGCTTACGCAGAGTCGAGACTTTACAAAGACAGCTGCCCATCTTTAGGGGACAGAACTTGGGAGATCTGAAGAACATTGCCGTGAGATTTGAGGAGAAGATGTTCGCATCTGCAAAAAACCAGGTGTCCTTTCTCTCACTCTGTATGATCTTCTCTTTATAAATAAATAAAAATATATATATATATATAAATCCATGCTCTGGAACCTCCATTTATGGGTATTCAAGAAGTGAAAAATCAAAAATGAAAATTCCTTTTTTTTTTAGTGGAAACTCATACGTTGCTGCCACCTTTATGGGGAAGCTATGTATTATAGAATATCTGTCTGAATTCATCTGAGGATGGAGCTCCAAGCTGAGGACGACCCCACGCGGTGTTGTGAAGAAGCGGTCGTTTTCCATTATAATTACGATTATTTTGTTGCATTGAATTTTGGTAAGTATTCCCATTATAGTTACGATTATTTATCCACATTTTGCCCACATTAATGGCAGGCGTTTCTGGCTCTGAACCGTGGATATCCCCCAATGACTTTAATGCTTCATGGGTTTTAATCTTCCTTTCCTGCTTCCTAAGTGATTAATGAACTAAAATGAGCAAGCTTTCATATTCACAGCGTTCTATTCTCTGCATTTAATCGGCGGGCTCATCTGAACAGGCAATGTTTTTTGTTGGTCTCCTTTGATAGATGGATTATCTCGGGAAGATATCTTTGAAAATGCTCACAGTGGAGGCAAAGACCCGGCACTTTGGTTTTGCTAACGAAATGGCATCATCCCCCTCCGATCATAGCCATTCAAGTTCAGGTGTGTTACTGTTTAATAGACTAATCGTTCAAATTCCCCGTGCTCATGCTTTCACTTCTATGCTGCGTTTTGCTTTTTTATTTTTATATTTTTTTTTTATAATCAGATTCAACGGATTTCACTGGTCAGACAGGCAGGCCAGGTTCAGATTGGCAAGAGGAGATATATCAGAAGGTGATTTTTTTACAGAAAAACTAAGTCGGTGGTTTATTGATTTATCGGGTTTAATGAATTATGGAAAATGTATGCTAATACGAGGATGGGTATTTGTCTAAAATTATTCTATCCGGGCCCATTGTGGCTCAGTTGAAAATCAATTGTCAGCTGTCCATTGCCATTGCTTCGTCTTCCCTGCTTTAAAGAAGAAAAAAGAAAAAAAAAAAAGCTGTCATCTTGAAAACCGAGTGAAACATCTCATTAATAAGTTTCTCATTTTCTCAATTTAATTTTTTTTGTTGTGCATTTTTTGATCAGATTGGTAGTTGCTCGTGTAATTTCCAGGTTCAATCCATGAGGAACCTGTACTATGAAGATCTCTGTGAAGCTCGTCAGAAGATCATCCAAAACTGGCAGCAGGTTTTGATATTTCAATATATTTCTACTTCCTTTCATACCAAAATCACGAGTGCAGCTAAAAATATCAATCTGACTATCTTCGTGTTGACCTTGCGTCTGACTCTCTTCCTCTCCCAGCACGAATCTCCAGCGCCATCATGGATGGATGCCTTCTCAGCGACTGGACTCCATGAAGAAGATGAAGCACCAGATGGATCGCCTTGTGGTGCTTCTCCGGCTTCCCAAGACCAGCATCCGACCCCACCTGCATGACGAAATGTCGTACAAGACAAGAAGCGGATACCCAGATTTATATATTCAGAAGGAAGGGCAGTCGCCCCACTGGAGATGAAACACGAGGAGTAAGTAGATTACACATTATGAGCGTTGACTTCCGGTCTGGCAACGGTGCCCCAGTCAACCCATGTGGGGCTTCCCGTTGAGGAGGGTTGACTTCCATGTGAAGCAGCAAGCTGATGAGAGATCGCCTCTTTGGGAGACGTTTTAATCTATTCTGAGTAGAAAATCCGCGATGGTTTTCTGTTTAATGTACTAGGATTCGGATGGAGCTTAGCTTATTTCCCATGTGAGAATTTTGCTGAAGTTTTTGTATGCTTTATGAAGGGTATTATCGATAGAAAAACCTCATTGACGTGGTTTTTAGTGCAAATAGTTTGACGCGGTCGACGCGACGCCACCTGTAAGTTTCAACGCACAGTCCCCGTCGAGCCTCTTATTGACCAGGGTCAACCCTGCCTGCGGCGTCGTGGGATCTAGTAAATATTGATCTAAAGAAGGAAAGAAAGAAAGAAAGAAAGAAATCTTTGTAAATATTTGAAGTAAAATGGGTCACATGGGCTGATGTGATGTGTTGTTGTTATCGCGTGTCCTCATGGGTTGAAATGCTTTGTTAAATTGGGTGGAAAACCGAAGTATTATCGCTCTCTCTCTCTCTCTCTCTCTCTCTCTCTCTCTCTATATATATATATATATATATATATATATATATATAAATGGCTGTCTCAAATTGTAGTCAATGGGACAGGTCTAGCTGCCTAACTCACATGGCATCGCTTCAAGATTCAATCAACTCGCCCAGGTGAACAATTTATACCTCAGCAGCCGGTGTTAATTGACAAAATTCAAATTCTCGACATAAAATTATCAAGAAAAAATTTCCCATAAAAGGAAATGTATGGCGATAAGATCACCTCATAATGTTTGCTCCTTGTTACCTGTGATATATAAACATGACATCTAGAACCAACCCTACTCACTCTCTAATTCTCTCTCACACAAACTCAGTGCCTCTCTCTCTTTCTCTCTCATACACACATACACACAAACATGCTCATTTTCATCCTCATGGCAATGTCACATCTAGCACTCAGGATGAAGGTCTAAGGTTCTTGGTGGACAAGCAAAAACTAGCACTAATGGAGTTGACAAGTTGTAAATTATATACTAATGATCTTAAGGCAATCTTTCCACCATGATATTACTCTTGATTTTACAATTAATTTTGAGGATCTCAAACAATCAGTTGATCTTCAACTTGTATGAAACCATGGTTGACTATGTTATCATTATTGAATGTTCTTAGGTTTGGGCAGTAGAAAGCTAAGCTAATTCCTTTACTAGGATCTTATGCACATTTATCATCTAAATTTTGAGTGTCTAACAACATGGTGAGACATATTGTCACTCTGTAATTTTCAACAAAGGATACCACATGGTGGTGCGAATTTTGATACCATTCTTTTCAAAGAATCATACTTAGATTGTGGCAAGCTATGCCATGATGGTCCCATTTGATTGCCACTTGGAGAGGGAAGGGGCAATTGGAGGCTGACACAAGGGGACAATGTTGAGGCATGATCTTTGGCCCCTCATCCATGTGGGAAGATATCCCACCAATATGTGGACTGATTCTAATGGTTGGTTGGAGACCACTAGACTATTGACTGACAATGGACCGAAGAAAGTTGGTGCGAAAAATAACGTATTAAGGTTGAAACCAAGTGACAGAGTGCAAAGGAAGTTAACATGTTAAGGTGACCCTAAGTGATGGAGCTCAAAGGTGGTAGGGCAGTAAAAGGCTATTGTGGCTATAAGAAGACCCTCCCCATCCATCATGGAATGGAAAAGGTATCTTGGGTCTTATATCTCTTGGTTGAGAGTTAGAGACTAGTCATCTCAAATCAACTTCCTCATAAGGCTCCTTTAGGGTCTCTTCTAATTATTTTTACCCTTGTTCTCCCTTTTTAGCTCATATGTTCATCCGTTACCAAAATTTACATTATTACAAATAGTTCTGTCTTTACATCTTTCCTCCCCTTCTCCCTTGTCAAATTTGAGCACCCATCAAGTTAGTATCAAAATGGAGAAATAACTCCTAAGCCAAGCAATCTCAAATGGGAGGTTATATAGAAAGAATTAAAAGAAGTCCGGCTTATAATAGCCACTGAGTAAGTAGAGAAAGCAAAGTTTTGACGTGAATTGAGAAACAATTAGACTGAAATCAAGCAACAACTTAATTCTTTCACTTACTTCATCAAAGGACCTCAACAACAATTGAATATGCAAAACTTTGAGAAAGTGATAGTCTTTTAGTCAATACATTAAAAGATGTCAAATTTACATTTATATTTGAACTCAAATGATAGAAATTAGCTTCAAGCTTCTAGTTGTTCGAGTCAGTCCCTATAGATGACTATCAATTTTAGTATCGAATCATGTTCTCAGATATTTAAAAAAATCAAAGAGAATAAGAGAAACTTGTTTTCTTTCCTCAGTTGGTACTATCACGACTCCACATGCAAAAAGGCAGCAGTAGTAAAATACTTACAAAAAAGAGAAAGAAGAGGAACAAAGAGAATCAACAATATGTATAACTCAAACAACATTCAAAGTTGGGATAAAAAACCCTTTACGGAATAATAAAATAAATTAAAATACGAATGAAAAAATGATGGTCCCTATCTGTCACTCAAGGACAAAAATAAAATTACTAAAACAAAATTCACACAAAATAATTGAGTAGGAAGGTAATTGGGTGAACAATCATATGTTGTTGCATGCTTGTCACCCATAGTCAGATTAGTGAAAATAAAAAAAATAAAACATAAATCAAACTAAATAAGTTTAGTGTATAGTTCCCTGCTTTACTATTTCCTCAACTTCATCTGTCACTCAAGAGGAGGGCTTGGTCACTAGAAGGGAAGGTTGGAGCCACCATTATGCTTAGCCTATGTAAGATGCACCTTGTTTGCTTAGCCACCGTCATTATCGCCATGGTCACCCCCACCACTACTATTGTGGTTCACCACTACCAACTCTCCCTTTCCATGCCCTAACCATAATTGGGGTCTGCCCCCCTCTCTCCCTCTCTCTCCCCCACTTAAGTCTAGATTGTGGACCTTCATCTTAGGGTTGATATCATTGGCCCATTACAATGTCATCTTGACATCCTCTATAAGTCCAACAATAGTTCTAACTTTTAGAATATTTTTTTTCAATTGTAAAGAATTTTAAGAAAAATGTTGCTCAAGGTTATGTCCTAGATAGTGATGTTAAGATGTAAGTTAGCGGACCATATAAACATCTCTTGAGAATAATGTGTAAAATTAAGTAAAACCTTATGAAATTTATTTTTCACTAACTTACAGCATGCCCACTATTAATGTTTTAATAGTGTATAGTTAATATGATATTCCTTTTTTTAATTATCATAAAAAATGATAATTAAAGAAAAAATAAGACACAATACTATTAAAAGGCTATACATCCCACAACCATTTTTCGAGATCAAGGCATTAGGGAGTCAACCACTAATGAGCCTTAGCTAATCAATGGCAAAGAAGTAGACTTAAAGTACCCATGTTCAATGACTTGAACCTAAAAGGTTGCATATTTCATGTTGACTTATATTTCTCTACCTTCAGGCTCTTAACACTAAAGAAACTATTCATGGTTAATCTTAGTTCGGATGGTAGAGCACCCTCATAGTTCCAATGGGTAAAAGATTGAAAATCATTTCAAAATTACAAACATTTGAAAGATCAAATTTTAGAATAATTCAACCTAAAACAATCAAACATCCTTTGTTAATAATTTTCAAGCTCAAACAACATAGAACAGTCACTGAATATAGAGAGGAATTTTACATTTCTTATGTATAATTTGAAACACTTTGTAGTAGATTATGAAAAACATATTTTTCAAGGGGTTAAGGAAAAATAGTAATGTACAAGATTATATACTAAATCCCAATAGACTTGAGGTGATTATAAAGATAACTTAGAGAATAAAGTTGAAAATCTATATACTCATAGAGCTTGGATTAGTTAATCGATCTCCTTTGACAAAGTGATTTGCTACCTAACTTATATCATCTGTCTTTTTACATGTAATGAAATATATTATTTCTGAAAAATTATCAACCACCACAAAATTTGATTCAATACTTCTCTATATTTGCGATAAATCAAATATAAAATTCATAAAAATATTAGCCTATGGACATTGTGAAATCGGTAATAGAGTGTATAATCTAATATTTTGTCCCTATCCCTTTTAAGTTTGACAAAATTGACATTTGAGAAAAAAAAATCTACATCTTTCTTTAGTTTGGGCTAATAATTTTGTTCTTCAATTGATTGCAAGGTTTTATCTCGACCAAGGTGTTATTACTAAACTTGAAGAGTGTAATTCACGTAGTAATTTTTTTCTTAGAGAACTGCAAGAAATACATAATTATGTTCCTCGAAATAAGAAATAATATGTAGGTGAAAACCTTAAGTTGATATTTCAGACGTACATGTCATATATTGTTGAGAAAAATCATTCTCTTCTAAGTATAATTCTTTAAGATAGTCAAATCTTGTGATCTCATCACATAAGTTTTATAAAATTAGAAATTTCAAACTTTGAATTATAGAGGTAAAGAGTTTCAAAGTTCAGTATCCTTTAATGGGTGAAGATCTTAAAGAGTTTAGATAGTTGTACTACTCAATCTGGCAATAATCAACATTAGAGGAGGAAGAAACTAAACCTCACAACTGCATAAAATCTAAATGGGCCGTGTCCAAAGCTTGTACTTCTTCTACAATTATAAATTCTTACCAAGACATCATTGTCAATGGGAGCTACCCATCCTGTTCACTCTAGGTGATTTAAACTTCCTATCAAAACGAATGGAGATGGAGGAATCGACCAATGAACTTAGTGAAGATAAAACAATGGTCAACATTAAAGTATATTTAAAATTTTTGAATCAAAGAATCACTCACCTGAGCATTGAAGTTTTGAAGAGAGATCAACTACTAACCTATTATAATTGTCATCACCTTGAAATTGATGGCAATTGAGGAGTTAAAATTGATGGCTATTGTCCCAATCATCTTGAAATCAAAACATTACTTATCATGGAGGAATTTATCATATTCACTAATCAAAAGTGTTTGAAATTCATCTTGGAGTGATGACAAATTATGCCAGAGTATTAGAAATATTTTAAAAAATCATCACTTTCAACTTTAAAATCAGATATAAGGTAATAATTTGAAAATAAAGCTATTGACACCTTGTCAAGAGCTTCAAACTAAGTATGGATATTAGTGGGTGAATTATCTCAACTTGAATTAATAGATTTATCTCATATTCTGAAGAAAAATTGAGAATATCTTATTCAACTATATCATTGACCAATTTCTAGTCCATCTAGAAAAATGGCATCACTTTCTATCTAACAAGGTCTTTTATTCAATCCAGGGTGATTGGTGATCTCTAAGACTTAGTTGATTTCTTAACTCCAGCAAAAATGCCACAACTTCAATGAACTTACCATTGGATTATATTCAATGATTGATGGAGGGACATGAAGAACTACATCAATGGCTAGCATAGCTAAGATCTATGATAAAATTGCCTTATCTAAGATTGTAAGGGGTGAAGAAGGCCTGGAGGATGCCATATGGTGGTTGGACTTTTGATACCATTCCTCTCAGAGAATGTGTGAACCCAGACCGTGGCAAGCTCTGCCCATGATGGGCCCATTTGCTTGCCACGCGGAGACTGAAGGGCCCGTCCCTTTTTAGGCAAGATGGGTAGAATGTGTCGACAGAGGAGGATGCGCCACGTGGGGTAGCGGCTTCTTGCCTTTTTTTTTTAAAGCCCGGGCCGGGCCTGATTAAGTATGGCCCCCGCCCGGTCCCCGGGTAATTGACAACCGTTAAAAACGTAGTGGCCGAATGGCAGGTATCGGATGACGGACTCAGTACGGCGGAGAATTCGATGCAAAGAGTTCTTATACAAATATTTATTTTTGATGGTTATATTAAAAAAGTATTTGGACAAGGACCGCCCGTCAGTCGGTCCGCGGCCTGCGAGTTTCAACTCTCCCCCTTCCCCCCGATGAGCATCTTCGCCATTTCCGTCTCCATCGATTCTCTCTGTTTGGTATCTTCGCGTGGCTTTCCATGGAGGGGAGCGGCGGCAACTGGAGGCCGGCGCAATCGGACGGCTCCGGCATAACCATGGACGCGGCGGCCTCCGGGGACTGGAGGTCGCAGCTCCAGCCGGACGCCCGGTCACGGATCGTCAACAAGATGTTAGGCCTTCTGCTTTTTGCCTTCTCCTTCCGCCGTCTCGTTTTGGTGCCCTCGGCCGATGGGTATTCGTCGGTTTTTTCACGTTCCCGCTTATCTCGGATGGTAAACAAGTCGATCTGTTAGTACCGTTGAGCTTTTTTCTCCGGGACGGTCGTGCGGGCAATTCGGCCCGTCCGACGTCGCGTAGACGGGCATCTGCAGAGTTGTTTTATGTTGTGTTCGGGTTGTGTAAACTTCGTCGTGGTTTTCTTTCGAGCTAACTTATTTTAAGGTTTGGAACTTTCTTTAAGGGGTACAATGGGGCTGCCTTGGCTACTAATTATGGGTACTTTCTTGATTCTCGCTGTGTTCATGGAAATTCCTAAAATATAGGGTTGCTGTTTTTAATCACCGAACTGGCAACTTTGTAAGCTTTCAGATTTGAACTCTATTCGTGATCCCAGAACGTCAATAGACCTCTTCATCCGAGGGTAAGAGAATTTCGGCTGGGCCACTGGGGTGGGTAGGGGCGTGTATTTTTTCTGGGTCTTATCAGAATATCATTGTCACTTTAGGCTTGGGTTCCTCGTCAGTCAAAAATCACAACCGTAAGTAACGGTGAATCTGTGTTTTGGAAGAGTAATTTTATCCCTCAGTAGAACGATCTTAAGTTCTGTCGAGGAGTTCCTTGGAAGTGTGATGGTGGTTTTGGTTTCGGTTGGGTGTTTTGCCAATTCTTGAGGAATGACTTTCTATTCTGCCTTGAGACTGATTTACAGAAACGAGAAATAATGTGGGCATTGGATTATGGATTTTTTTCACACATCGATTTTGATATATATATATATATATATTTATTTGCTGCCATTCAGTAAAAATCAGTACTCTTCCTTTTCCCCGGAATTTTCCGTATCAATCTTGTCTTGGTCATGCTTTTCCAGCTGCTTTGCTTCTCTCTTTGCCTTGGTGTTACTCTCTGATCTTGTGACCATAAGATCCCGTACTTGATATGTTCAGAAGGGGATTACCTTATGTGTAGATGTTTTCTATGCCCCTAGTTCGCTTAGTTTGTTTAACGTTGATTGCTATAGATGTCACTTGATCGAAATTTGGACATGATGATCGATCAGAGACTAGAGATCCATAACTTAGTGCATAAACTTGAGGTTGGCCATTGTAGTCTACATGTATCTTGCCTTAGATCCATTTACAAACAACTTGGATTATCTAACCTTAGTCAGGCTATTTAGAAACGTAGAAAACAGGTATAGTCTGGAGCATGGATTAATTGGGGAACAATGATGGAATCGCCATTAAAGTATAGTCCACTTGATCATTTTGTGATCATCCCACTTTTGAGAGAGGTATTTACAGAAATCTAAGCTTTTTCAAGGTAGAGCATTAATGAACATCAAGGTCGTAAACAGTCACAGCTTGAACCATGAGTGAATGGGTCCAAATTCGGAATGTTAATACGGTTCTATCATTCTTATTTTCTTGCTGATTGGAGATTGACATGATTCTGACATTCTGTGGGGCGCATGATTTCGCTCAATTCTCAGTCCACCTTTCAGATATGGTGCAAGATCTTGTATAACTTTACTTTAGTAATTTACTCAATTTTACATCTTGATCTTTTGTTTCCTGTTTTTTCCATGATCAACATTCTGATTGGTGAAATTATCGGGTCTTCTTTCTCTGATGCAGAATGGATACTCTACAAAGACACATACCAGTGTATGGGCCAGACAATTTAGGAGAATTGAGGAAAATTGCCATGCGATTTGAGGAGAAAATTTTTACTGCATCCTCAAACCAGGTTCCTTCTTGGACATTTTACGATATTTTGTGTAATTCATGTTGTGGAATCTCCTTTATTCATTAAGAAAGGTATCTTAGATGTCCGTTTCATGAAATCGTTTTCTTTTGTTGGAAAAGTCAGGCCTGGGAACTAAAGCGAATGTGATTACTATGGTGATATTAGCACGTGGCATCTTGTTTGTATATTTTTCCTGCTTTCGGGCATAATGATCCTTGATCACATGGGGGATTATTTCTTGTCCAATTTTCATTGATAATAAAACCTCAAACTCCCATTTACGTCAAATAAGTCTGCCCAATCTTTGAGACATTTTAGGCCCACATGGGTAGCACAATTAGTGTGGCTGTTGAAGGATCATATTTCTTTTGATAATCATTAGAATATTTTCAGGAGGATGATGTGGGCTATTTCATGCCTAATACTGCATGGAGCATAGGGATTCAGTTGACCTGCCACTTTCTCTCAGTGATAAGAGGACGATTTCGTTAGTGGCCTGGGTCTGTATGGACCAGTCGTTTTCTAAGAGTTATATAAGACTTGAACCTTACAGAGCTTGTCGTCCTTCTATTCAATATGTGATAATTAGTCTTTTCTGGGAAACTTTTTATTTAACCCAATCTGAGATTTATTCCTTGAATTGGCTTTTTCTATTTGTTTCCTGTACAGACGGATTATCTCAGGAAGATATCACTAAAAATGCTTCCAATGGAATCAAAGACCCAAAACCCAGGCGGTACCAATCAAATGGCATCAAATCCCTCAAACCAGAATACTCCAGAAGGTATGAAAATGAACTAATTAGTTGTCTCACAACTGTCAAATATCATGCTGACAAAGAAATCAAACATGCTTATGCTTTAGCTTCCACGGTGCATTGTTATTAGAATGGCATTATTAGTCTGATGATGTGGTTGGCTGAGACTTGGACTTCTGTTCTGGCTTCCCAGAATTTGAAAAGTCCTCAAGCAGATGAATGAATCCCTGAAAAATTATGTGGTAATTTTCTTGGTTGCCATGATTTCATAGAAATATCATTGATGTCGTGTTGATGGAGATGATAGTAGGATTTGGGCTTGAAATCACAAAGCACATTTCTTGAAGAAGAAACTAAGTTTTGAGTCCACAAAACGTGATACTTTACCCCTTGAATCCACAAGATCAAAGAAGAACACTTGAACCCACAAATAGATAGATGGTAACCTCACAAGAGAGAAAAGCTTGTAATGTTTCAATTTTTGTCTAAGGTTGCAATCGAGGGAACCTTTATATAAGCTTAAAAAAGAAGTGGGGTGTTTGAAAAAACAAATAGGTTAAAAAAAAGTAAAATCGACTCTGAAGAAGATCAACATAAATTCTGAGACAACATAAAATAAAATATGACAAACTTTGAACAAAATCAAAAAATATTGTGAAATGACAAGAAACAAATGCCTAATAGACTCTGAACAAAATTAAAACAGATCCTAGAGCAACAAAAATGGAAAGTGACTTCTCATGTAGAGTCTTATCACGGCCCAAGTACCTTCATAATCCTTAGGAATGAAATTCTCAAAGCAGCTTTTCTTATAACGAGCTTCTTGGGCTACATAGCTAAGTTATACAATATAAGAAATCTATCTCATAATGTAAGAGGGTATAAACACTTGAGACGTTCAATTAAATATTAATTTCTATCTTTCTCCTCTCTCTTGTTCACATGACGCCCTCCTGAAATGATCTAGGGTTTCACTGGCATCTCAATATTCAATGACATGGTATTAGAGTTATTCAGGTGAGATAGCTCCAGCCCAGCTTGTGTTCTTAGACTTCCTCACTTGTCCTACCCTTTATTTGGTCCATGAACAGTGGTGCATGAGTTTGGTCTACTAGTTTAGTCCATTTGCCCATATTTTTCTGTCCATGATATTCTGGAGAGGGGAAGACCATCTCTAGTGGTCGTAAGGCCAATTCTAGACCTGTATGAGTAGAATTTTGAGTGGGACAAACTTCTTGAACCTATCTATTACTTTAGGAAATAGGGCACAACAAGAGAGTTGTTGGTAGTACCACACCTTATCTTCTGCAATATGATCATATTTCTGTGGTAGTACATGGTGTCCATAACCAAACAATCATGGCCGGATCGAACTTGATTTTATTTAAAACTACCCTCCATTCCAAGACAGTTTAAATTAGATGGTAGGAACTTGCTCCAATGGTGTGAGTATGTAGAGATTGTCTTGATAGGAAGGGAAAAATTGAGTTGCCTAATTGGCCATGTACTTGATGTTGAGAATTCACAATATCACCAGTGGAAAGAGGAAGTGATAATTAAACATGGTTGTGGAACAGGATGACTCTGATAATCAGTGAGAATTTTTATTTATTCATGTTAGAACTATTGAGGTATTTTAGGAAATTGCATTTGTTGCTTAATGTAAGGAGAACAAAACCCTTCAATTGCACTCCCACCAAGGTAAGAATCAAAAGGCAAATCTAAGAGACAATTTATGGTGCACCTTTTGCAAAAGGCCACAACACGTTAAGGATAGATGTTATAAATTATATGGGAGGCCACAAAAAAACTACCCAAATTCATCTCACTACCAGGCTGTTGGATAAGAGCTGGCCACCAATAGTGACAAGGGCTCGATAGAGAAGATGAGTTAGAGAAACTCAAGGTAGAAATTGAGAAACCAAAGGTTGCAATGGCATCAGGTTCATCAACTCATCATGTGAGTTTTCTCCATCTTTTGGATTAGTTGCCTCTTGTGATTCTCCACCCACCTTATGGATTTTGGATTCCGGTGCCACAGGTTATTTGACTAATGCACACATAATTTTCTCACTTATGAGCCTTGTCCCTCTAGTAAGGAAGTGGCCACCCTAGAGGATTCATTACTCATCATAGTTAGAATAGGCGATGTAAAAAACAGAAAAATTGAGAACCGTAAAGAATGTCTTGCATCTTCCCAAACTTTCAAAAGCCTAGTAGATTACCAAAGTTGTGAGGTTTTATTTAGTATTGATGCTTGTGTGTTATTTGACAAGGTTTAGAAACATAGTGGACTTGCTGGGGAGTGAGAAAACCTCTGAAGGTGAGTTTGACATCAAAACCTATGGTTACTTCTTCAACTGATATATGTTTGGGACATCTCTCCTTGAGGACATAGAAATTTTTACTTCCTTTTCTATTTCAAGGACAAGATGTATGCAATATGTTTTGTGATGTGTGTGAGCTTGCAAAATACAAACGTTTTTCATTTTAAATTAATGGTGAAAGAAGTTTAGAATCTTCTTATCACATTCATAGTGATATTTGAGGACATGCATGTATAACCCTAGCATTTTGGGGGATAGATGGTTAGTCACCTTCATTAATTATTGCACACACCTCAAGTGAGTATTTTTAATCAAACACCAGTCAAAAGTTGATTAAATGGTATAATAATTTTGTATCTTAGTTAAATTTTGATTTGGAACCACCGTCAAACAATTTAAATATGATAATACTATGAATTATGTTGATCAAACATTGATGTCATATTTTTAGAGAGATTGAATCATTAATGAATCTTCCTATGTTAATATCCCACAATAGAATGGAGTAGGAGAAAGAAAAAAAATTTGTCTTAGAAGTTCTTAGAGCCCTTTAATCTCAAAAAAATGTACCGAAGATGTTTTAGGGTGAGGCAATCTTAACAATTATTCACCTCATAAATTGCTTACCAACTTGAGTATTAGAGTTCAAAAGCCTAGAAGAAGTATTATGTTACACTCTCCAATATGGGGATGTAACAAGAGTAGAAATAAGTGCAAAATTTTAGAAAGAGACAAAGGAAAGATCATAACTAAAATAGAAAAAAGAAAAGGAACATAAAGGGGTTTATGAAGGAGACCCTAGAATAGTTTGTGGATAAGTTTGAGAGTGGGCCCACTCTTTTTTTGACTTCTTTAAAAAGCAATTCGCCTACAACTCTTAAGGAAAGTGGTGTTTATGAAGTTTTTTTTTCAAAATTATTTTTATAAAAATTATATAAATTTACATAATTAATTAAAAATCACATTAATTAATTATGTAAATTTATATATTTTTTATAAAAATAATTTTGAAAAAAAAAAAGAGGAACCCACTAGCCAGCCAGGCCCACAAGAGAGTTAGAAGCACAATCACAGACTTGTTGGTCAATCAAACTCACAAGCAAGTCGGAAGCATAGTCAAGTGGAACCGTAAGCAAGGGTCTTCAGTGGCTAAGAGACAATCACCAAGGCACGTGTGTGCCACTTTCTTTCCATATCACTGATGACTAGTTGGGCATGGGGCAAGGAATAATTGTACACATGTGTGAGGACAATATTAATAAAAGAATAGGTATCATTATATGTCTCAAAAATTATTAAATAAGCTGATGTGAGATTAAACTCATGTCAACATTCACATGTAAATTTTATATATTTTTATATTTATAATACCCCTGATCTATGAGAAGTAAGTGATTTCAGTACATTATTAGGTAAGGATATAAGTGTAATTGATTCTCTCTCTCACACACAAGTAGGTAATTAGTGAAAGTTCAAATTCTACCAAAACTAAAACTCATATTTTTATCTAATTAAATCGTGATTTTTCTATAGAATGTCGGTTAATGATTAAGCCACCATAATCATTCAATCATTAGCAAAAATGTGATCAATGTGATTCGTAAAGCATCATTGTTAAATATTGAATGATTTTAGATAAAAAGATTGTGAATCTATTGAGTAAATCATCTCCGATTGATTGATGAATCAGTTGCCATTGAGAAGAGGAAGATATGTTGGAAGGCAAGTCGCTACCTTTTGAAAGCATATGATGAGATACTCTCATCAACACCACTCTCGAGTCGATGGCGATTTTGAACATCAACATGAAAGATAACATAAGGACTCGAAAGTGGAAACGTCACCATCAACACCACTCTCAAGTCGACGTCGATCTTGAATGTCAACCCGAATGGCAACATAAGGACTCGAAAGTAGAAACAGCACCACATAAGACAAGGGAGGCAGAAGACCAAGCAACCAAGCGAGGTCTATATAAGGATCAGAGGAATACATCAGAAGGGAAGAAAAGAAAAGGATAGAGTCTCACCCGCTCAAAGGGTTCTTGGAGCTTGATCCCCTTTACAGATTGTTATCCCCTCTTTCATTTTTCTCGTTGTTGCCCTAGTACATAGGTAGCCCTCACTTATCCTTTTCCTTCAGTTGACTAGTCTTCTTGCCTCACATTCTCTCCCTTTTATTCTCCCCCTCTCTCTGTGTTATTTTTCACATATGACAAGAGGCTATCATCCATTTGACTATTATCGTCCCAATGATAATTCGGCAAATAAGGATACTTATTAGTATATCAGATGCAATAAAGAGCTTTCTTTTACTGCAGACCTAAGGATGAAGTTCCTTAAGACGCACTACACCTCTATCTAGCTTATCTCCATCGAGTGGCAACCATTGAAGATTCAAAAGTCATTATTTTTCTATTTTGTTGGGTGATAATTGTTAGAGATGATTCGTCGACTCATTTCATCTATTTTTAAACATTACAAAAAGATTAAAAGATTATCTTCATCGTCCATGTCCAAAAAGAGCCTTTTAAGTTGTAGACATCACACAATAGTACTTTTGAACACAAAATTCTAACAATCAATGTCGTAAAATCAAAATTGTCTTTTCTACTTTAAACTTAATTTTTACTTAATTTAGTGAGATTTTTGTGTCATTTTTAGTTACAAAAACCTTTTGAATTTAATTATGATTATTTTGACTTTTACATATCTTAA